GGTAGATACACCGCGAGTTCTATAAAAAGAGTGAAAGAAGTAAATTTCATAAATATCTTTAACATTCTAAATTATAAACCTGAACTTTTCATTATCCTAACAACGTATGATCAAGTTTATGGCATTTTAATAGTCATTAAACTTGATCAAAGGTAAGATTTGCGAAGTTACATCTCAAGTGATTCTTTTCATGACTTATACTTGTATTGGGAAGAAGTCATTTTGCAGGGGTAATATTACATGTTTGTTGGGAACATCGATGGTTAACTATGCCAGAATAGTATTACATACGTTACTTTTGATACTTGCTATGAATAATGTATCGTGACATTTTTCTTTCTAGTCTGTCTGTATTAAAACAGGAAATTGGTACGTTTTAAGTCCCATATTTTCTGTTCAGTTTCAAATCACATATATACGACATTTTACTGGAAATCTCATCCTTAGCAGCAGTTTAGGTGAACAGGGGTTAAACTGTCAGAACGAAGTCCCCTAATAGACGTTCCTAATTTTGAACTACTAACCAGAGGAAAGGAATCCGTCCAGCAGCACTCACCACCACAGGAGTTTTGTCCAGCTCTTTGAGCCGAATGACTCTCATTTTTGTAATGCGTCCACAGCTGAATGTAAGGAACGTGATCAACGAATCACCTCATGAACCTTTAACTTTTCAGTCTGCAGCCAAACACACTAATCACTAGGCTACGCTTATCCCAAACATTTTATAACATTAGTGAAAAGAAGGGGAAATTAGATAAGAACTTGCATACTTCATAAGTGTTTGTATAGATATAAGATTTGCTGTAACGTAAGTGTTTGTATAGATATAAGATTTGCTGTAACGTAAGTGTTTGTATAGATATAAGATTTGCTGTCACATAAGTGTTTGTATAGATATAAGATTTGCTGTAACATAAGTGTTTGTATAGATATAAGATTTGCTATCACATAAGTGTTTGTATAGATATAAGATTTGCTATCACATAAGTGTTTGTATAGATATAAGATTTGCTGTACCACCGATGACTTCCTACGCTTGAAGATCTAAAGAGAATAGAATCCTTTATCACCATAAATTTACAATTATTATTTCCCGAGAAAACGATGATCTGGTTGATATACCCGAGAAATACCTAATACTTACAAAAATGTATATATATCAACATAGTTTAAGACTATTTCTCTCTCTACCTACGTATATATGCATGTTTATGATATATAAATGATAAATTTTGAGATAACCTACATATATATATATATATATATGTGTGTGTTGTAATACAGAGTGATGGAAAATATAGCGCATACTAACATTATTTTAAGGCATATCTTTGTCTCATTTAGTTTCTCTTTTTTATATTTTGCTCTAATAATTGATTGGGGTGTTATTAACCTTCCCAGATCGTGTGATCTTCTTATGTGGGGATCCTGTATGTTCTCCTGGTCTGAAAACATTGCACTTATATTTTTGGGGAAACGTCAAACACTCGGTGTTTGTCACACGCCCGAATAACCTGAAAAAAAGTCATGGAGAAAATCATAACAGCTTACACAATCGTAACATCACGAATGATACAGAAGGTTAGAAAGAACATGAGCGAGAAAGTGACATTGTGTTGTGAAATCAGCAGTGCACTTTTCGAACAGCTATAAGGTGAGTGTGACGGATTTATTATTATATATTTATTTAAATATCGACGTTCGTTTATATTAAATTTATATTTAGAAATATGCATAACGTATACTGTTAAATATGTATTGCGAAACTCCCGCCTATTCTCTAAAGTTGTAAAAGATTCTCGAGTGTAAGAATCAACAATATGTGTATGTACGTAAACGTTTAATGTAGCTTTGTATTGTTACGTAATCTGAATTTTCTAGAAACTCTCCACATGCCTATAAATATAACCAATGCGACGCGCCAAAAAAGAGTATCTATTATTGGTTTGTTATAGTTGGTATGCTATATGTTTCGGAAGCTATAACTGTGATTGTTATAACGCTTATCAATCGGAACACTCCAGATATTTGATCAGGAGCTATTACAAATTTCTAACATTACAAATCATTTAACTTCAGTCGATTCTCCTCGGACATTAGTATTTTTACGAAAACATTATATAACTTCATCATGGAAAACTCGGCGTGTGTGGCTGGTGGATAACGAAGAACAAAGCTAGCTAGCTCCCCGTTAAGCTAATGCAATTAAACTGCGTGAAATATTTTACAAATGGGCAAATCCTACAATTAAAAAAATAATTGTTTTCAGGTTCACGAAAACCACAGATTAACATGTCTTTTACCAATCAAGGACGAAATAATGTATCAGTACTAAAAAAAGTTGTTTAACTAATAAAGCTGAACATTTTCATGCAATTCGCTTTTGTTTTGTTTTTCTTTTACAGACTATATACCATTTTAAGAGTACAGGTTTAGTAGTTAAGGTTTAATTAATACTTACGTGTGGGACTGTGACTTAATAAGAATAAGAATGGTTTTGGCAACTGTTCCACTTCTAGAAATATGCATACTTTCGAACTGTACATTTCATTCCTTCAACTTCAACTAGAACACCTGTGTTAAGTTTAATGAAGTAGTCTGATTACTGAATGGAAGCAGAAAGTAACGACAGAATGGTGTCAAGGACAGAATAACTTGAAAACCAAGCTTAGTTACAGTGTGTTGTTCTGAGAAATATATGGGTAGAAGAAGAAATTTACATTAAGCATACGCGAAAAATGCGTTATTTTATCAGGATATCATAAAACAAATTTTAAAAATATTGATATTTTGATGTTTTCTATAGTAATATTATTTTCCATATGATAATACCTACCCTCAAAAGTTAATACTCAACATTGTACTCAGTTCTATGTTATTATTCTTAATATTGTCAATATTGTGCAGAATGTATATATATATATATTATCTTGAACATATAGGGACAAAATATGTGTAGTTTTTGTGATAAAATAATTAATTGAAGTTTCCCCCCTTTCTTGTCCGATTAACGACTGTTTGTTGTTGTTTAATACAAAGCTACACAATGGGCTAACTGCACTCTGTCCTTCGTTGGCTATTTAAGGCCATGATATAACTTTAACGATATTCATTACATTTTTCATATGAAATCGGTTAATTTCTATCGGAATTTTAAGGTCACGATATATTAGATTAATTTATCAAGCTATAATTCTATTTGGTTATTCCAAAACTAATATATAATCTAAATAATCTACGACTCACTCTTATTTCATTCATATTTCTTAGCCCACGAAACTGAATATCTGACTGTAATATTTAAGTTGTCTCTTATGTTACACTAGAAGAGTATTATGCGTTTAACTTGTTATATCATTCCAACACAAGTTAGTAAACTTTACACATCAATACAGTTATCCCATTTAAAATTCAGTTTGCATTAGCGCTGTTTATCAGTTACTTTATTCCCTAAAAACTATAAAATAACCAACCGACCTGTATCTTACACAGCATTATATAAAGGCATTGTTTTTATTCATATTCAACAGGTACGGCAGCGAGCTCGTTCTTATAACCGAATATGGGCAGAACAACTACTCTGGCTCAGTGGCTGCTGAAAGTCTTAGAAGTGTGGGTCAGGTGGCCTACTGGATAGGTTTGTGATTTTATTATATGTTCTTGAAAAAGAATACGAGTTGTTGGCGAGTTATATTATAGCCAATACTAGCCCGCCATCTACTGAATAATCTGTACATTTGTGAATACTAGGGATATTATTACTCAAAGTTTTACATTGGTGATTCAAATATTAGTTGTTTATACAAATATGTTTATATTATTTAAATTAAATCATATTTTCTTAAAGTTGTATGTAATCACAGTTACAGGTATTAAAAAAAATTACATGTAGTGTTTTCAAATGAACATATAAATAAGTATAATTTGCTTTTTAATCCATAAATAATCACCTTCTCATATATTTTTCAAAGAAATATAGGGAAAATAAGATATATTTGTGACTGTAAATTATAAGAAATATGTATCTGCAGGCATGAAATCTGTTGACGATTTGTCTACGAATACCTTGGAATCAGCTGGAGGTGACTTTATACCTAAATATGTCGGATTTTGGTCCTGGAATCAGCCCAAACCACGAGATGGAAAATGTGTTCTAGCTCATTTGATTGGAAATTCTCAGGCTTGGCAACTAGCCCCATGCGAAGCATTGCTTCCGTTTATGTGCCAACTTAATAGTTGCCCAAAAGGTGCTTACCTTATATTATTTGAAAATATAATGTACTGTGTATGTATAAATAATTATGATACTTTATTAACTATTTATGCTTATAGCATTTTCTTTATTTTCGAACTTATTAAGTGTTTAACGCCACTTACGTCAAATATTTAGCCTAGCACAGGAGCTTAAGCGTAACGTAAAATGATAATAATAATTATAGTTATAGCTTATTTAGTTAATCTTATTCACACCATAACATTAACAGTCGTTGTTCATCAAAGCTTATGATAAAAATAGCGTTCAAACCACTACTATATTGTATTTTACTCCTAGTTAGGTTTATGAACCCCAGTATTGTACGAAAGGACTGGTCGGCCCTGCATATGGCAAATGTAGTTTGGTTGACATGCTATAATATATTCTTTATTTTCACTTTTAAGTTCTTAGAATTAAGTTTAATACAAAGTAACTTTATGAAGACATAAACTTAGATGAAATTTTCACTTTTACTAAAATGTTAACTTGCAAGCTTAATAATTATATTAATAAAACTTAAAGGCAACTCCAAAAGGAAAAGATCTGTGCAGTATAGAAGTAAGCTGTCATCATTAGTTTATGTTTTCTGATATTGAACCTGTAAAGTGTAATATGATTTTAATAAACTTTGCTGAATTCACTGCATTAGTACATGGACTTATAATTTTACATGAAAAACTATTTATTGGAGTGATTGTTTAAAAAAATTCCAATTTATTATCATGTTGTTACATATATAATGTAAATGTGGATTTGGCATAACTGTTTAAATTCAAACTCCTCTGTAGCTAATAGCATGAACGTTTTTTCAATCATAATGAAATTAGCTCATTTTATATTTGTAACTATTTTAGATTACTGGCTGATTAGACCTGCTCTAACTGCTTCTTTTCAATAACTAGAACTACACAAGGTCACTATTTTGACTATTTTTTTACTATTCTAAAATATTATTAAGAGTTTACGTAATTCATTTTTTGCATATAGGTTCTTTTGCATGCAGTAATGGACAGTGTATCAGTAGCCATTGGCAGTGTGATGGAGAAGATGATTGTGGAGACCAATCAGATGAGACTGAGTGTCCAAGTAAGTCACCCTGTGTGTTCCATAGATGACAGTTACAGTAGAATGTTTGAGTTTTTAATATTATCTCAATGATCTCTATCATATACACCTATAAGCTATATATATAAATATGCAATTTGAACATAGCTTAATCAACAATTATATTCATCATACTTTTAAAATAATAAAAAAGTAAGGATTTTTATTCTGAAGTAAAAAAAATGTGTATAATATTTTTAAAAAATGCCATTAATCTGTTGAAATTTTTATTTCTTTTAACTGTAAAAACGAAAATAACTATATTAGAAAAATGTATATATCATTATTATGTTTTTTAGATTCTTGTCACTTTTATCTTCAAAGTTCTGGAGACTCAGTCCAGTCTCCTAACTATCCAAACAAATATGCATCCAACTTGGATTGTAAGTGGACTCTTGAAGGGCCGGTTGGAGCAGGAATTGTCTTACAGGTGGGTTAAAAAGCAGAGACATCTGTACAAAAGGGTAAAAATATCTTGGAAGTGCATAAAGCATATATTTTGTCTATTAAAGTATATCGTTAATCTTCTATGCATATAAAATGATGTCTGAATTGAAATTTCCATGTATGAACATAAATTATGTTTTTTTTTTATAGTTTTCTGATTTTGAGACAGAGGCCAACTTTGATACCGTACAAATCTTGGCTGGTGGTCGTACTGAGGAATCAAGTGTTTCCCTTGTTACTCTGTCAGGAAGGGAGGACCTGAGCTCTCGATCATTTGTGACAGCTTCTAATCTCATGATTATAAAGTTCAGATCTGATTCCTCTGTTGAAAGAAATGGATTCCGTGCTAGTTGGAAAACAGGTCATTCAAATATAACATTATAATGTACTGCATTTATGTATGATACTGTCTATCAAATGTAATTAGTTTTTGGGATGTATTTTTTATGTGCTGTCTGAGCAATGTAAGTAATGAAAACATTGTTACATTGGTTTATTTTAAGTTAGTTTATAAATGCAGTTCTGTTGTATTAAGCACCTTGGAAATCTTTTGATGCTTAATCTTTCAATAAAATCTGATTAAACTATTTCCAGGATTTTTAGAAGTCTTAAAGAAACTTGTTAATGCTGAGGAATATTTATAAAATGATTAACATATTTCACTGTTGAAAGAAAAAAAGTTGCATGCTTAGGTAAAGAACTAAATTAACTAAAATAAAAGAATAGATTGCATTATAACTTCACAGTTAACAGACTTCACATAACATCTAAAATTAAGAAGAGAAAAAATGCAAACTATAGTAAACACAAGTGGATTCTGTCAGTGTCAAAATCCACGCAAATGTGTAGATTGCATTATAATTTCACAGTTTACTTGTTGCTGTTTTTTTTTTAATAACATAAGATGCACATTACATTAAATCGAAATGATGTCTGTTAATTTCAGAACCCATAAAGTGTGGAGGAGAATTATTTGCTCAAGCAACAGCTCAGTTGCTCACGTCTCCAATGTATCCAGATCCATACCCTGGTGGCTTGGAATGTGTGTACATCATTACTGCACCTCAAGGTCGCATCATAACACTTGAGGTAAAATATGTTGTCATAAAATTTATTCTAAATATATAAGAAAAATAAAAGTGTTCAGTTTTTTGTACTTGTGTGCTATTATAGCTTTTTACTTTGTTTTAATGTGTGGAAGAAATAAATGTACTTCATTTACACAAATTACTATTTTATGAATGAAAATAAAAAACTATATCAAAGAGGCTACATACATTACAGTTACTACTGAAATAAAGCTAAAGTTATTTTTGGATGATATTTACTTCATACTTAGAATGGGAAATGTTAGGTTTTAGTGAATAAAACATTAACTTATCAGGTAGTACCAATATAGAGTTTAAACATATTAATCTTAAAAGATGTTTTGCTTAAGTAATGAATTTGGTTAGTTTAAAACTATTAACTTATAATGTTGTTTTATCTCTGAATTATATCAACTTATGAATCTGGTCCATTTATAAAATGTATTAACTTTTGAGTTTCATTAGTTTATAAAACATATTAACCTGTGAATATGTTTTATGTTCTTTTTTTTTTTAAGTATAAACATTATATAGCTGTAAGGCCAAAATTGATTTTCTTCTTTGCTATTTATCTTGTTTTTACACATTATGAATTGCTTTTTATTTATAATAGTTATACACTAGTATTTGTTTTTCTGCATCATTTTATTTTATTTTCTCCTTCATAAAATATCATGATTCTTCTTCTTGTATTTCATAGTTCCTCTTGCTTATTTCCCTTCTGCTTGAAAGTTAAGTATAAAATGTAATGACTTTTCTCCTTGTAATTTCTTAAAGCACTTTACTACTCTATATTGTAAATTTTAGTTTACTTTTTTCCCCTTCTGATTTTCAGTAGGTAAAGCTTAAGGAATTATACATCATGATCACTATCAATATGGTTTATATTAAAGGTGGTGGAGATGGACCTAGAGCTTAACAAAGATTACGTACTTGTCCGGGATGGAGCAATGCCATCTGATCCTCTTTTAGCAAAGTTGTCAGGTAGCTCACAGGTTGTTCCTAAGTTCACAATGTCAACATCAAACAAGATATATCTTTATCTACACACAAGTTATGGAGACAGCAGGAAAGGATTTACTATCCGTTTTAGATCAGGCAAGTTTTCAATTTTCTTCATTTCACAAAAGCTACAGAGACAGTGGATAAATTACACTTATTAAATTGAGATTAGGTAATTTATTCATTTTATTCTAAAGCCTAAAGAAATACAAGCCAGAAGCTTATGAAAGTTATGAAAGCATTGCATAAAGAAATTGTTTCATATTTTCTAATGAATATTTAAGGAAGAATATGTTTATATATAAAATTACCTTCTTTCAAATGCAAGTTATTATAGAAATGTGGGAAACACTGTTCACTTGTCTTTTGTAATGTTTGTTGACATTTTAATGGAAAATATATATTTTAAAACAAATTAGAAGCTAAATATATTTGAGTAAATATTTATATTTGAAATAATCAGTAATGTTTCCAATGGTTTCTGTAACTGTAGGGTGTGAGGTAGAGATGGTAGCCTCATCTGGAAACATCTCTTCACCAGCATTTGGTGTAGTAAATTACCCAAGTAATCAAATTTGCAAGTACAGTATCACCCGACCTGAGGGTGGATCAGTGTCATTAAGGTTCACTCATTTTGATGTTAATGGAGATGACTATGTGGAGGTTAGTCTAGTCTTTTGGACTTGTAAAAAGATTTTCTTTTCCATATAACAATACTTACATATATAAGAAAAAAAATTAAAATGCTATATTTGAAATTGATTGATTTGGAAATTAGTAGAACTTTCTTTTTTAAAATTTATTCCACAGTATTAATAAAAACGTCTTTTTTCTCATGATATTCTTGAAACTTTAATACCAGATATATGATGGAACAAATCCAGAGGGAGGTGTTCAGCTCCACCCAGGTGAAGGTTTCACTGGAAAATCTCGACCCTCTCTGACTCTAACAGCAAGTTCAGGCCACATGATCCTGCTCTTTAAAAGTAATCCTTTACACACAGCATCTGGATGGAAAGCAAGCTTTAGTGCTGGTAAGAAGTTTTTTTGAAGATACAAATCATTATTAATGCTTTATTTTTTTTAAAGCTTCTAAAAGGTTGCACAAATTAAAGCATATTTTCATAACCAATTACCTTTGTAAAAATATATACAGAATCTCTAAATTTGTTTATAACCTCTTAGATAGTAGGATTTATTACTTTCATTAATGTTTTTGGTAAGGGTTATTCATGTAGCCCTTAACATCATTTGACAATTTTACTTAAACTTTGTATATTTATTCATTCAAGATACATTTAAAAACACATAAGTTATCCATTTAGAACATTGTTATGACAGTTGTCTGCTTCTATGTGGCAAATGCTTGTATCTTTTCATATCTTCATATATCAAGTTGATAAATCTAAAAACCTGTGATGGAAAGCAAAGTGAGAATATATTACAACATATCAACCACACTATATTTGCCATATCCAATGCCGATGAGATAAGTTGTTTGATGAAGTCATATGTTCAAATAAGGTTATATTGTGAACATCCTAAATTTTGCAGAATTATGTATGTTTCAGTATACCATTGTTTATCTAAATTTTAATTTTGCTTTTTTGAGTTTTAGTACCTTGACTTCAAGTATAGCTTAATTACAATTAAATCTGCATGTGTAGTGTCATTCTTATTAAAATTAAAACGATTTTACTGAAAGATTATACTGAAATTATGTTTGTGGTTTGATTTTTATTTGTTATTTAACATTATTTATGCTTGCTTTTAAAGTTTTAGTAAGTGCTATATTTGTATGCACTTGCTTAAGCTAATCTGTGTGATCAACACTGAGCTGCTTTTGTATCTTAACCTCTTTAGATTAGCACCACATACGTCTTTGCACACAATCAGAATAGATGTATTTGAAAGTCTGAACAGTAGCATCAAGAGCAGTAGCTTTGTATTTGTAGCAGAAGAATTAGCAATTTGCTTACGGATATTTAAACACATTTCAAATTTGTCTTGGTTTATTATACTAATTAATAAATTTAACTGTAACTGATATCTTAAATCGGGCAACCTGAGTTGATTGTATTATTAAATGTATAATGGCATTATTATACTATATTTGTTGTCATATTTCACGTTTTCAGTTTCAATGATCAAATAAATTCAGAATTTAAGAAAAAACTATGTGTGTGCATGTTAGGGGGTAGGGTAAGGGTTTGACTGGCAGCCCTCAAACTCCAGATCTGCTCATGACCTATACAGATGCCTGCTTGTTCTCTTATTTTTGAATCCACATTCTCAGCTCTTGTTACATAGTTGCTAACTATGTATTGAAGGCTGATTTATGCTTTATTTTACAAATCTCACTTTATTGGTAATTATTTCAACCTTTAACACCCCACAAAACATGACTATTAGCCTATCCAATCATCTGAGTTTAATCATTAATTACTTTTGTATCCTGGATATGGTGGTAGTGTTGAGATTAAATTTTAAGTCTTTGTGGAAAGGCTGTGTTATTCCCTCATTAAAGCTTCCCCTGTATTAGCGTTTGAATAAACTGTTTCAATGTTTTCCAGAAGGATATCCAGATTTTCCTAGCCATTATACTGAGATAACTCAATGTTCTATCAGTTAGGTGGATGGTAAAGGATTATTTTACACTTTCTTTTCTTCACTCGTATGGTTCATATCATATTAATTTAGTATTATGATATTTTCTGGCATGATGGGCTATTACAGATTGGTCATTATTAATCTTTTATGTCTGTTATATTCCTCAATTCTGATGTTTATTGGTCTATTTGTTTCTCCAATGTATTGAAGTCCACATTGGAAAGGATGATGTTAATCGTGTTTTTGGATCATTAAGTGGATTGGTGTGGTGTGTGTGATTTTCTTTCTGCTTATTCCTGGTGTTTATCTTCTTTATTTTTCTTTATCAAATATTCAAGGTGTCTTTTGATTTCAAAACAAAGATTATATTCCTTTTTTGAGATAACTTGTCTAAAGACTATATACACAGTCAAAATAATTGATTAATCATTAACCTTAGGCTATATATAGGCTGTTAACCATGACATGGATTACTATCTGATTGCCACAACCTTACTGTAACTACATAACATATGTTAATTTACCATCCAAAGATTGCCCACAGCTGCAAGTTGGAGAAGGAGCTTTTGCATCAACTAGAGATACAGCTTTTGGTGCAAAAGTGACATATACCTGCCCTGTTGGTCAAGAGTTTAGCAATGGAGAAACAAAAATTGTAGCTCAATGTATGCAAGGTGGACATTGGAGTACGGGGTACATACCAAGCTGTCAAGGTTTGTTGACGTCCATTAATGAAAAATTAAGTAACATTCATTTTTTAAGTTGATCTTAAAGTTATTCTACTGAAATACTATGCTGCCATTATTTGTGGATGATTGAAACAATATGATAAAAACTAAAAACAACGAGGCTAGAAATTATATTTTAGTTATGCAATAGCAACAATTTCAAGATATTTAAAAATGTATATTGTAATTAGTGGAGCAAAAGTATTAGTTTTTATAATTGCGTGTTTCAAAAACCTTTTTTATGTGTATGAAAGATGGTATACAGAAGCTATTATTTTATTTTTCAGAACGTTATTGTGGTCCAGTACCTCAAATTGACAATGGATTTGCTGTAGGAGCTACCAATGTCACATACAGAGGTCATGCTACCTACCAATGTTATGCCGGTTTTGCATTCCCAAGTGGTAAGCCTACAGAAATGATCCGCTGTGCCGAAGATGGTCAATGGCGAAATCTACCAGTGTGTCTTGCTTCCTCATGCCCTCCTCTACTTGAAACTCCTCATGCTTCTCAAACAGTCCTTAGTGGTGGTGGACGCAGCTATGGCACTGTTATCCGTTTTGAATGTGAACCAGGCTTCTACAGGATTGGTGTTCCTGTCATTGTTTGTAAAACTGATGGTCAATGGTCAGGACCACCCCCTAAATGTGAACGTATGTTTGTACTTGTTTTGCTACAGTAATTAAGTTAATTCATAACATATAAAGGAATAAACTGTGAATCTTAATATTTATATCATTGCTAGATGTAGATTTTATAATATCTAGCTTTAGAAGCCTCAAACTGAATTTGTAAAACTGGAACCCTTGAAGGAATCTAATGTTGTTTTTTGACAATATGAAGATACTCGGAAGTGCTATATAGATAAGTCTCCCCCACTTCCTCAGTCTTAAAAGGGACTCTGCCTTTGGATTAAAAAAATAAAGGAAATAAAATGTCATTTTCTTTTGTAAATGATTTATTAGTGAGTTTGTAAATGCAAGGTTATGAATAATATAACTTGCATATTTGACAGCTTTAGTTAAAACTCATGAAACATTTTTTGCGCATAGAAACTAAAACATTAAGATACCACATGTTAAAGGTTACAATAGATGAAAGTCAAATATTTGGTAAAATAGTAATAAAGTCCATGGACATAAATTACCTTTGCTTTGTTCATTAAAACTTTAATATGTTTTATTATCTTTTTTTTTTTAGAAAATAACAAATGTATAATTAATTTAGAGGAAAAAATGCAGTATAAAGTTGTGACTAAGATTTGTCAGAGGTTATGGTTTTCTTTTAATCATTGTGTCAACTTTTATTTTCAGTCTAAGCACAAAGCTGCACAATGAGTTATTTGTACTTTGCCCACTACAGAAATGAAACTCCAGATATTAGTATTATAAACCCTAAAACTTACTGCTGTGTCACTGTGGGGTCCTGTGACAAGTAGATTATTCATTATTTTAGTAGGATATATGTGTCAGAAGTGTTGGAACCAGGGATGCTGTAGCTTCCCCACTTTTACATATTTGGCTTATATAGCAATTGTAAATTATATTATTATATTAATTTTGGGGAGGGGGCATGACCACAGACCCCCTCCCCCCAGATCCCTAGATTGAGATGCCTTCGGCAGCACAAAAGCTGCTTTTACCAGCCTATACTTTCAATCTCCCATTGTAAAATCTGCATGGCTAGCCAAGCACCTCCACTTTGCAACTCCTTCCTACACTATTGCGTGTGAAATGCCAAAGAGAAACGGAATGCCAATTACCAATTTGTTATTTATCTTAGTAATTTTGATATACATAAATGTAATAGATATATTGTTTTATCCAACAACTAGGTGTTCAGTGTCTTATTCTCCCAGAAATTAAGAATGGATTTGTTGTCGAACCACAAAGAAATTTTTTCTATGGTGATGAAGGGAGAGTTCAGTGCCATCGAGGATTCAGACTTGAAGGAAATGCAGTCATAACTTGCGGTCCTAATCAAACATTTGTTAATTTACCAAATTGTGAAGGTAAATTTAAATTTTCTTTTTTGTTATTTATGTATCTTACATTGATGCAATTACTTTTTGTTGATATAGATTGAGTCAAAGATTTTGTATTAGGCAAAAGCAAACATTTACAAAAAAATGTATGCCTATTTTATTCATTTCTAAATTTTAAAATAATATTTTAATTTCTAGAGGGATTCATACTTTTTCCTGCTTCTCACCTGTGCTTGGATTCAAAAGTTTACACCAATAAGCTATAAACAGAGTTGTTTTAATATGCTTGGCCTGTTACCCACCAGTGGCATGTCTTAGACTAAACCTCAGACTCATCATTTCCAGTTGTCCAAAGGTTTCCCCTTAGAATCATCTGTTAATAAAAACAAAAATGGACCCATTAGTGCCAATTTTTAACCAATTTTTAAGTTTTGGTCCATCATACATTATTATCATTAGTGTAATCATTTCAACCTTTGACCTATCGGTGTCATCTATTATAGACTCAACCTTTGATCCATCAACATCATCTGTTACAGGCTCAACCTTTCATCCAATAGTGCTATTAGTTATGGGTTTAACTTTTGATCCCTTAGTGTCATCTATTATAGGGCTTTACCTTTGATTTGTTAGTGTCATCTGTTGTACCAGTCTTTGATTCATCAGTACCATCTTTTATTGATTTAACTTTTTAATCCATAAGTTTTATCTGTTAGTGGCATTATAGACTCAGCCTTTCGTCCATCAGTATCATTTGTTATATCAGAAAAATCAGAACTTGTCCCTTTCATAAATTTGCTTGACCCACAGAAGTCAATAGATACAAAGCTCCATCTCCACCATCTGTCATTGGCTTGATATTTGATTTATAATGTCATCCATAATAGACTTAACTTTTGTTCCATAAGTGCCATCTTCTTATAGCTTAACTTTTGGTCCATCATTGTCATCTTTCCTGATAATATGTCCTAACACATATGTAATTTGATGTGAATATAGTACATAATCCACAGTTTGAAAGTAATTTTCTCTGTTGTGTTTAGTATATCAATTTATATTTTCATTATCTATTTGAGTTTTTTTTTTTCCTGAAACATGAATTTTCCACTCGGTTTCATGATGCTTAATTTATAATAAGTTTTTGTTACTATTTTTTCATACTGAGCAAATTAAATGCCAATGGATGATAGAGTTCATTAGAAACATAGTTGAGCTCTAGTGTTTAAAATTTTAATTTTGGAGAGCATTCTTAGATTCAAAGTAATTAGTTAGAGCACATCTGTAAAGATTAAGACATTGTTTTGCTTTTTACATAATGTACAGAGTAATTCTAATAGAATTATTAATATTCTTTTGTTATTGCTATGTAATAAGTACCAACTTGTCATATTTGCATAAAATATGATGAAAATTTCTATATAGCTTTATGAACTAAGTTGAAAGGTTTGTTAAGGCATTAAATACTTTTATTTTCAGATATTAATGAGTGTTCAGCCACATCGTGTGATACGGCTTCTACTGTCTGTACGAATACTGCTGGAGGATTTTTCTGCAAGTGTAAATCTGGATTTGAACCAAACTTTGGTAAGATACATTATTCATAAGCATTCAGCAACAGTTACAAGTGTAAAAATAGTCATTATTGAGATTTTTTTTCTTACACCATAACTATGAATCCTTTAGTATGTTTCATATCCAAACTAGTTTATAGGATCATAAGTAATAAGAAAAATAATCAGTCTACTTTTAACATCCTAAAATTTTTTTTCTGTCAGATCTATATCGGGCACAAAATGTTTAACTGTTCCTGAATTGGATGTATGACCAAAATGTTGCACAATAAAATTATGTTTTACAATTCCTACTACTCTGAGAAGAGCACTAGAATTTTATCTTTTTGTTTATGAGATATTTAAACATTTCTTGGGATCTTTGCATGTGCTTAGTGTAATTATTTTTGTTCTACCTCAAAAAGCTTTCATTATACACTTGATTTAACAGAATTTAAACAATCAAGAAAAAATATTAGTTACATAAGATATTTTAAAGAGGACTGGACCTTTGTCACTCAAACAAAATGAAACAACGTAAGAGTTGGGCTTAGTAATTCACAGATTGCATCATAAAGAATATAATCATGTTAAATAAAACATTTATGTACTTAAAATAAGTGATGTTAGCTTTCAGTATGTGATCAGTTCTTTTTAGTAAAAAAAAAAAATTATGTATAAAAGTAAACTATTTTGCCAGTTTTTTTAAAACAAAAGTTTTAGGTCTGTGGTGTTATGTGATTTTTTTTAAGAGATTGAAAGTACCTTTTAAATGATGTATCTTATTTAACTTTAAAATTTTTTCACAATCAAACTGAATTCGTATTTTTGCTTTTACTTATTTTGTATCTATCTGCCTTCTTGCTATAGACTGTCGACCAGTTGGAGATCTTGGTATCAGTAGTGGAACAATTCCACCTAACAGCATTCGAGCTTCAGGAACTGAAGCTGGTTATAGTAAGAATGTAAGTTTCATATCTTTACTACTGTCTATTTCTTATGGCTAAACTATCTTTGAAATGTGCAAATGTTCACATCTAATTGCAGGATTTAATATCATTCATTTAGTTATAAGAAAAAGTCATAAACATGTATAGTTTTTTGTGCATTAAAATGTGTAGTTAAAAAAAGTAATTTACATTTTATGTGAAACATTTTTTGTACATTTTGCCTTCTTTTTCTCAGGAAAGTAAAACTTATAACTGCATCATAAACAAAACTAAAATACTGTTGATTGTTTTGTTGATACTGAATATTTCTAAGAAATTGTAATTAGGAAAATAGTATAAAGTGTTGTGCTTTTTGTTGATTAAAAAGATTATTGTATTCTTTAGAACTTTAAACATTTCAAATAAAAGTAACTAGTAAAACAGAAGTTCTGTAGTTCAAACTAATCATTTCTATTCATAATTATGGTCCATTTGACAGTTTTCATTTGATTTTTTTTATGATATACTTTTTTGATCATGTTTATTGGATTCAAAACTAAATATAATAGTAAAAAAATTTATAGCTTAAAGCTGAAAAATGTTTTTAGATTTAACCAAGTGTTACTGATAGCAAAAAAAAAAGTGTCTCTCAGTGTATTATATACTTTATTATTTATTTTACTCTCATTTTCAAGATTTGGCATACCAAAAAGCTTATTTTTACTTGTAAAGTATAATAACTACTCAATAATTTTAGGCTTTACGACTTGACAGTCCTGGTGGTTGGTGTGGAAATATTCATCGGGAAGGGGAAAACTGGATCCAAATTGATTTGAGAGCCCCAACAGTTGTGCGTGGCTTTCGTGTCAAGTCAGTTCTTCGTGATAATGGGTCTCATGCATTTCCACTCACGGTGTTAATTCAATATACAGATGATCTGACAGATATATTCAGAGATTACAGAGACTCTGAAGACAAGGTATGTTATATCTTGCTTCATTTTTATTTTGTTACAAAGTTTATTATAACTTCTTATGAATACAGTTATTAATTTTCTTTTTGTTTTCTCTGATATTTTGTTTATTCTTTTGTTTAATTGATTGATGATAGTTTGGTTTCATACTGATTACAGTTTGGTCTCTTTCTCTAAGAAATGATATTAACTTGTTGGAAAGGATTCAGAGAAGCACTTCTAAGATGGTTTTTACTATCTTATGTGAATAAATTAAGATCTATTAACTTATTTCCCATTGAAGTTTACAAGATTATAAATGGGATTAATTAGATAAAGGCCTGTGAATTATTTATACTTTATTCTGTAAATGATAAGACAAGTGAACACAAGTTTAAGACCTGGAAAATACAGACTAAACTCCATTTAAGACAGATTTGTTTTTCTAACTCTGTGACTGGCTTATAGAAAAGTCCCCCAGTGGAAAAGAGGTAAGTTTATGAACTTACAGCACTAAAAAAACAGCTAATAGAAAAAGTTGCACTCAACAGTAGTGAGGGCCAACACTTTACAATTTCCTGAAAAATAAAGGGTGGGTTTAAGTTTTTATTTTTCCTAAAGGGTGAGTCCTGAAGGAGCAAATGTTAAAAAGTACTAATGTAACATTTAAACCTAACTTAGGAATCGGTAAAAGTTTCAAAAACACTTCTTTTCATCTTCATTCAGTAGTTGGGCAAGATTACTTTCATGAATTAACGTGCACTTCTCAAGGTTTAACATAAGTTTTACTAAAAAAAATAGAAACATTTAAAAATTATTCTTATGCCTTGTATCTTAAATCCAATTTTTGTTTAAAGCATTTTTATGTATTCAAAAATTAAAGATAAGCTTGTATCACTTTATTTAGCCCATTTGATAATGTAAATAAAGTTAGAAACTTAATTTCTAAAATAAATCTTACATATTGTTAAAAAAAAAGAGACCAATATGCTTGTTAGTCATTGAGATTCAAATAAATAACTTTGGTTATTTATCCACAACACAAAAACACAATTTCCAAGTTTTTTACATCTTGTATAATGTAATAATATAAATGCATAGATTGTGTAGAAATTAGCAACAAAGCTATAAAATATTTAGTTTTTACATCATGTTAGGGTTGCTATGAACTTCAGAAATTTAGAAAAGTCATGGAATTTGAAAAAGGGATCAACAACTAAAGGAAAATTGTGGTCACATCCTTTTATCTTTATTTTTGTCACAGAACTTGTATCCATCTGTGATCTGTACTGCTTAGCTGTGCCAATTATTGGTATATTTTCAAATAGTCTTCAAAATTCTCTCTGTGTTATTTTATGTGATAATTTTCTAATTTTATTTTATAAATAAATATGCAACATCTTGTTGTCTAGTATCAAGTCATGATGTTGTTATCAGTTTTTTTCTGTGGTGCTCCAGTTTGAAGTATATTTTGAAAGTATATACTGTAGAAGAGTACGACATTTAGTATTTGTATGCTATACAATAACTATTAACTATGAGATGTGAAAATTGCATATCATCTTGTGTTGTATCTTTCTACAAAAACTGTGTATCCTTGAAATGTTTAATAAAAAACAGGGTAGCTATCTTCTTTTCAAATTTTTTTTATCTGACTTTTTAGGTAAACTTCCAGATTTTCCATATCTGCACACAAACATTTGTATGACACACACTGATATTTCAACTTTTCCTCAGAACTCTAACTAATTAAAACAATTTAGCTTTCAATCTGGTTATACAGGATAAAAAAAATATATATATATGTTTAATACATAAAAATTAAAAATGGTAATTTCGAACATGTTAAACTAGGTGGAAATTGTCTGCCAAATTCGACCTGAAATGTTTCTTTCTGTAATTGGTCTAGGCAAGAACCTTAGCTCCTGTTTCACAAGATAATTGTTTTGTATCCTACTTTACCTTAATGTAGTTTTATTGAGCTCAGACAAATTGTTCTCAATGTATGAAAACAGAAGACTTGTGTCTGAGAGAGCCAGGATTTGCTAGTGATGTTCCATCTTTGTTGTATTTCATTTTTCTGTTATTCTTGCTGCTGGTCGTGTGTGTATTTCTGAACTCTAATTCAATTACTCATCAATGAAAGCTCATTTTTGTTTTCTTTATTAAGCAGCTTATTCCCCTAAATCATTCATCTTTATAATTTTATCCTACTTTATATTTTTAAACCATTACAAATCACTAATCATGTCCTTCTGCATTCTAGGTCCTTAATTTGTTGTTGTTGTAAAGACTGAGTGATTGTTTGCTAGGTTTGACATTGGAATTACTAAAACTTCATATTTGCACAGTTTTTGTAGAAATTGCAGTACAGAGAGACAGCATTTATTTTACATCTTACGATAGTTACTCCAGTTCGATACATTTTGTGTGAAACTTGGCAACACAAAATTAACAATGTATTAATATTTGCATTTCATATGAGGACATCAAAGTTACAAAGCTGTTTTGTAAAAAATTGCATCACAAAAAGAGAATCCTTATGTTTTTACTTCTGCTAATAGTCACTCCAATGGTATATAGATTTATAACACAGAAAAATGGTATTTTTGCATTTTTTATCAGTCACTTCAAAGTTACACAGTTTGTGTAAAAATTGGCAACACAATAAAGGACAATATTTAGTTTTGATATTTTATATTTATACAAACTTGCAAAACAAAAACAAAATATTTAGTTTTCAAATTTCATATTACTAACTTCTAAAGTACCAGTTCTTTTAGAAATTTGCAACACAGAAAGATAATACTCTGTTTTACCTCTCATATTAATTCTTCCAGAGTTCTCAGAATTAAAAAAAAATAGCCACTAAAAGTTATGTGATATTCTATAAAAGTTACAATGCCAAAAACCAGAAGATGATCTAAAACACAAGCTTGAGTTGCTTTCTCTGGAGCATTATGAGTATTAAAACGTAGACTCTTTTTCAATTTAACACTGATATTCATATGATGGGTGAGAAAAGAGAAATAAAAAATAAAGCAGTTATTATATTGATCTAATTTCACATTTTTGAAAACCAGAGGTGGGGCTTAGTATTATCTAAAAGCATGAAAAGAATTTGCAATTCTTCTTAAAGTGTTAATAAAATTAGGAGATTATTCTCAAAAGAAATTATTATCTTCAGGCTTATTTAGAGTGAAAACATTTAAAATGTTTAATACACTCAAATAGAACTTTCAAGTAGAAACATTTAACAACTTATGATACTACTACTTGAATTTTACAGAGAGTAGAAAAGCAAAAGGTACCAAATGGGTCCACTAGAATATACATATATTGTAGTTTGTAAATGTTATTAAATTTTGATCTGTTTTAAAGTTGTACTTCAAAATAGCTGCTATTTGAATTTCAGCCTGTCCAGTTCCAGTTGAACAGTAATGGAGGTTCAGGATTATCAGTTGTAAATCTACCTGTTCCTTTAGAAACACAGTATATTCGCATTGTTGTCATGGAATTTGTAATAGCTCCTTGCCTGCAGCTTGAATTGATGGGTTGTTCTCGGCAGGACTGCTTAGGTAATTGTGCCTTGTTGCAACTAATTTTTATTCCTGTTGATAAAATTAAGCAACTGTAGAAACAGAATGTTATTTTTTTCATGCATTTAGTAGACTTCATTTTGTCTTTGCTGTTGAGTTCTTTTATAAACTTAGTAGTTAGGCACCAAAGCTAATTTTAATTCTAGTGAACTAAGCACAACATCAAAAATTATCTTACACAAATTCATTATTTATTTAAAATTAAATGTCTATTAGGAACAAGTTATCAAAATATGTAAATATTCTCAAAATTGATATAGTAGTGTTCAATATTTTAACAGAAAAGACACTGAATTTCTTGTGAATAATTCTCTTGTAGATGTGAATGAGTGTTCAAGAAACAATGGAGGCTGTGATCAGCGATGTATCAATAACCCAGGAGGTTTTAACTGTTTGTGCAATGTTGGCTATGAATTGTACACTAAAAATGGTACCAGTGGTTTTTACATTCCACCTAGTGAGACAGGGTTAAAGGATGGAGATTTATATCAAATAAACAAGACGTGTGTTCGTAAGTTGATTATATATGCCTTTTTTTTTTCTTACCACATGCTTGTAAGCTGATTAAACGATTTCATCTCAGTATTTGTTAATGATTTGGTTAAACAGACATTTTACTTGGATTTTATTAATTACACATTACATTGTCCCCATATATGGAGCACCTTCACACTGAAATAATGCTTTTGCTTATAATGAAACATACAAATATCTAAAAATATGTTTTTAAATTTTTTTTTACTTAAATATATAAGTTTCTAGCACAATTATTAATTCAAACTGTTTAGAAAATAATTTACTATTTCTTCAATTATTCTAACTGCTAAATTAAGTTTATTTTAAAGCAGAAACTTTTGTTCATTTTCTCTCTTTTTTTATTGTTTTGTGAAGGTATATAATTTATCTGTATATTTTTTACCCAAAGGTTTTTCTTCTCTCTTTTTAAGTGATGATGATATTGGTAGTATTTTTGTTTCAGGAACTATATTTCGTCTGTATTTTCGACCACCAAACTTTCATTCTCTTGGATATAATGAAGATGTTTTATTATAATAGGAACTACAATTTATCTACATTTTTGCCAAGGAAACATGTTCTTTCTGTTTTAGTAAAGATGTGCCTACATTTCATGTTTCAGGAATTACAGTGTATCCACTTTTTGCTCCACTAAGATATTATTCTCTTTCTTTTGTTGAAGATATACATAATTTTTGTGATATAAATTACAGTTTATCCAAATTTTAGTCTTATGATTTTTTTCCTTAAATCCAATTTTTCCACATTTTGGACCTATAAGATTTTATTCCTTTGTTGTTTTTTATGAATTTATAATTATTGTTGTTTTGTTTTATTGAAATTATGTGTATTTTAGACCACTAAGCTTTTGTTTTCATCTTTATGCAGCTAAGATGTGTCCACCTTTGGCAAACCCAGACAATGGGTTAATGCTATCCACCAAGAAGGAGTTTCACTTTGGACAGATTGTTAGTTTCCAGTGCAATTTTGGTTATGTGTTGGAAGGGAGCTCTACACTACTCTGCAACAGCAATGGGGTTTGGAACGGAACAGCTCCTGAATGTAAATGTAAGTGTTTTTATTAATTTTTTTGTAACGTAATTTACAGATTCATTGATAGACTTTACATTTTTCTTTCATTTGATTAAATAACAAATTTAGCATGTTTTGAGAATTTGTTCAGATAGAGAAACTTTTTCTGTAATCGCATTAAGAAACCCCAATGCAACCCTTTTGATATGTAGCCTACCAGTGACATCTGTAAATTTACTTCACAGGGTTGTAACATATATTTTGTTATAAATGCAGGTTTTTAATAACTAATTTTACTGAAGCTTGGACACTGAATAACTCTCAAACAATGCTTTTATAACTTTCTTAATATCCCAGTTTTTAAATGCCGCAACAATGTACAAGTTCATTTAAAATCATTTGAATCTAAATTTAAACTTGGATCAACTGGCTATTAAAAGAACATTTTACTGTCGTCTGTAAACATTAAAACTTGTAATATTCCAATAACTTCATATATTATCAACAAATGCAGTACATTACTTGCAGTATGCGTTTATTGTATACTACAATATTTTAATATGTGACATTTTAGCATAAAGTGCTAACTCTTATTTTGTAACTACAACCAAAATAATGTATTTTAAATAATGAAGAAGCTGAAGTAACACTGAGCAAGAAAACAAATCAAAAAGCCTAGTTTTGGTGCAATAGTTGAAGCTATGTAAACAGTAAAACAAAATTATGAAAATGTTTCTTAATGTAGAAACTAAACCAATAACGAAACAAGATTATAAGTTTGATCTTATGCCATAAAATATCATTAACAACGAGGGTATCCAAGTGAGGAAATGATACATTCTACTCCTTATAAGTAATGGAGTTTGTACATTATATTTAGTTAGCTATGCTCATTACTAGGTATATATTTTTATTTTTGATCTGTGTAGGTAGCTTGCTTTGATCAGAAGTTAAATAAGTAGCTAAATCAATACAGAAACACTTAGTAACAAAATAATATTTTTAAAAGCTTGTCTTAGTTGAGTATCTAAAACAACACAAATGTCTTTAAAAAATTATGAAACTTTATCTTGATGATGGAAATGAACCAACACAACAAAAATTATTAAACCCTGTCTTTATGATGGAAATGAACCAACATAACTAAGTGTTAAATATGTAACAGTTTTTGACATAAAATTTTATATATGTGTGAGTAAATTGTTTTTGCAGTACTTAGATGTCCTTGTTATCAAGGCAATAAGTTATTTTCTCTTTCCATAAATTGTGCTTTTATTCAACATCTTTGTTTTACAGATGCTCAGTGTACTACACTAGCTGATGATCCAGGCCAAGGACTGGATATTAAAATCAGTGAAGAGGTTAGCTCCGTGCCTTTCCTAGAAAATGCCACTATTTCTTGTAATGAAGTTGGTAGACCTTCACATGGGACAGTTACAGCAAACTTTAGACAGTGTGTGTATGACCCTCAGGATGGTCATCCTGACTACTGGCTATCGGGATCTCCACCCACTTGCCCAAGTGAATACAGTTTTTATCATCATTGGATAATGTTAATACTAAAATATATTGAATGAGTACCTTTCTTTTAAATCAATGTGCTACCAATTGAATTGATAACATTAAGTATATACAATTAGAAGAAGCAAAGATTAGTAACTGGTAAGAACAGTATTTGCATAAGCAGGTAAATACCTTTCTGTACTTTAAAATCCTGAGCTTTTCAATAGTAATAATAAGTATATGATCAAGTATTCAGGAATTTGCTTTAGCTTACTAGTTAAGGTATTTAAAATTCCTTCATTTTTATTTTGATAGGAATTGATTGTGGTCATCCACCTAATACAACGGGTGCCACCTATGGATTTTATGTTGACACTCGCTATCGTGCTAGTTTCTACTTTAGTTGTGATGAAACATTTACTCTGGCTGGTAAAACAAACATGAACGACAATGTCATCAGATGTCAAAATGATGGCACCTGGGACTTTGGAGACATACGCTGTGAAGGTAAATAATTGCCACTCTTGCCCATTATTGTTTACTTTTTTTCACTGTTTTACATTTACGGACGTAGATTTTGGCTCTAACATTTTAATATTGTTAGGCTGTTGTTTTATGGAAACTACAAAATTTTAAATACATTACATTAAGAAATACATAAAAAAATTATTTAAAGGACAAATAATGATGAAATTTTTAATATTTTGTTTACTTTTTAAACCATCCAATATTTCCACAATAAAAAAAATTATATATTGGCAAGCAAATAGAAAGCTGACTTTGAGACAAAGAATAAACTTCAAATTATAGGAAATATGGCAAAAAGTCAATGCAAAGATGCTTCCGGAATTTGCTATATATGTGTGTTTTTAAAGTGAGTTTTTGAAACTTTTATTTTTTAATGAATATCACTATATATGAGTAAATTTATGCATTACCAATTTTTTGTTTTCCTCTGTATTCTAAAAGTCAAGAAACTTGTAAAGTTTAAAAAGGTTGCACTTTTAAAAGAACATTATTTTATCTAAAATAATAATTGTTTTAACAATCTTCTTGCACAATAACTCCAACAAAAAAGAACAAAACAGTAAAGGAAGAACTTATGGGGTGTAAAGTTGCATGATGAATTAAAAAAAAACAGTTTGGAGGTCATCTACATTTTACATAAAAAATGGAAAAGAAAATAAATAATGTAGTGAACTCTTCTAAGCTTGTCCAGTTTGTTTTTGTGACATATTATACAGTGAAGACCAAATACTTTGTAGTGCAATCTTCTAAGTATAGCTATCTTGTCCTTATGTCATGTTATACAGTGAAGGTAAATATCCTGTAGTACAATATTTTTTATTAAAATATGACCAGTTTGCCATACGTTGGAAAGATTAATCTTAGAGCTTTACATAGTGCCTCAAATGCAAAATTATATTAAATTAGAATTGCACTCAGTGAATTTAAATCATAATTTTGTTTACATTGATAACTAGGCAGCAAGTGTATGATGAATTAATGTTTGACATTGACCATCCACAGGCCCCGTATGTCAAGATCCGGGCAGACCACCAAATGGAAAACAAAAGGCTCTGGGATATGAGCAAGGTTCAAAAGTCAGCTTCTCTTGTGATCGACCAGGATATATCCCTTACAACACAGACCCAATAACTTGTGTGAAAGGTAAGGTCCTCGTATATTTCCATAAATGAATATCAAAAGTTTTTAAGGTAACTGTTTATATTTTATTTTCCATTTTCTCTACTATATCACTAACTCTACCTATTATCATCAAGGTAAATCACTTGGGAAATGTGCAGCTCACAATACGCTATCAAATTACATTACCAATGAGCTGCTAGCGTGTGTACTTCGTGAACAATTTTAATTATATTATTATTATTACTTATTTTACCTATTCTAGTCTTAAATATCTTAAAAAGATCCATACTTTTAATTTTACTTACTTTTATAATAATAAATATGAAAAACAAGAAATAAAGTACTTACCCAATCTTAGTTTTTCTTGCCCTTGATCGTCGAGTAGAGTTAAGCCTGATTTTTTTTTAGCATTATGGTAAAGCACTTAACAATTTTTATTTACTTGAATAATACATCAAATAATATAGACTAATAACATGCAAAAAGTAGACAAATTCACTTACTTCTAAAAATTTTTCTGGCTTTCTAACTATGCTAAAAAAACCATTACAAATTCATCCAAGCTAGTCGTTAACTTTCCTACGGGAACAAACTTTCTACTCCGAGAGACATTGACGGTTATCTGTTCAAAACACAATGTTATGCAAAATGCCATTTGATATATGAAAACCTTGACTTTCTATTGGTTATAAATAATATATATATATATAATGAAACGTAAGAGAGAGCTATCAACCAATTGTGAAAGGGAGGATGTGACAGGTGGGTGTGGCAGGAGGGTTTGATTTTCTCTTTGATAGCCCTGTAACAAAAAAAATTGAAGTCTATAAAAATTATGGTCTGTTTAAACAATAACGATTTTATAGAGAGCATTTTATATTTAATTTTATACATTTTTGAGGGATGATGACATGCTAAGACAAAATTTGTCATGTGTGTTACACTAGTGGAAATTCAGGATTTTTTTATATATTTCCTTTTAGAATTAAGAACTTAAAACTTGTGTATACTATTAAAATATGGATTATTAGCTAAGAGTTTATGCTATTCTAATTGGTATAACATAAACAAAAAGTAGTTTAATAAAATTTTGAATGTAAGACACTAAAACCTTGTGTCATGCACAGTAAAAGGTACCCGTGCCGATATTACTCTTCATAGAAGTGTTTTGAAACTTGATGCTTAATTTCATGTCTTTATCTTTCACGTATAGTTTATTTTTAATTTTCCTTTCCAATTCATTGTCTTTTATTATTTATGCCAGATATGTCATCTGGTGGCCATAGGGCTTTATTATTATTACATGGTGACTTATGCACAGTGACTCGTTTCAATAACACTTTGCAAACGCGAATGATGCCATCTTGTCTATACACTTTTACTATCCAGCTGATAACAAGTTAAACTTATAAAAATCATTAAACCTTTCAAATATGATTTTTAAAACACAAATAATAGATAATTAACTAAAATATAAAAGTAAGACCTAAATACAATTTAACTGTAACATTTTTAGATCAGAAACCACCGTAAGTGCTATAGTCGATCAAGCGAACAACAATACTGACAGTAATTACACGTACACTGTGAGGAAAACTGCTCACCAATTTCAAATTAACCATTGGTGGAGTATAGTGTAAACTGAGCTCTTTCTAATGACTGTATACACTTGTGTCTACTAACTACATGTATGTTGTAGATATCAAGGCAAAGTATAGAAGGTGGACGTGGCACCTGTCAAGGATTGTAAAATTTATAACTGTTTACCAGACAGCAACTACAGACTTTAGATATCATGTGTCAAGTACGTCAAACACTCGTACATTACATATACATGCTCATGTACATTGCCAGCTTATGTAGCTAAGAGAGAAGCACTGCTAAAGTCGAGATTTTCCATAGTGCGTGGATCACATGACACAAAGTAATTATGATTTAGATAACAAAATTTCAAATTATAACATACGTTATAATAATGTTAATTTCATTGACATATATTGAAAGTAAAGTGGTTTAATTAAATTTTCAATGTAACACAGTACCATACACAAAAAGGAATTTAAAAATGGTGCTGGGGACATAGGGTTAAAAGATAAATCTAACTTTTGCATACATTAATTTCCAGATGATTATCTTTTAGAATTATCAGTGAAGTATGGCAAACTATGCAGTATCTTTTATTCTTCAATATGTGGTATTTTATTGTTTACTTTGAATAATATTAGATTCAACAATATTGTTATCACATAGAACATACCATTATTTAATGTACAGTTTTTCAAGTGACTTTAGAGTCTCACTTAGGCTTGACTGAAAAAATTAGTTATAACTAAACCTTTACTGAAATACAGTAATAACATTTCACCTGATGAAACCATACTGGCAAAATGTTTTATTTTTTAATCTATAGTAATGTATAATTATCAAAACAAGTCAAAAACTTCATTGTGTGTTACAAACATTCATATCTCAATTGGGACTTGTGCAGTCTGTTAAAGTTATTTTTATATAGGATTGTGGATAAAATTTTGGAAAATAACTTGTTGTCATCCTCTGTTGCATCTTTTTTAACTTTTGTCATGTTGCTTATTCTGTAGAGTATCTAATTTTGTCCCCTAATAGGTCAGTGGAAAGTTTATGGGCTTGAAATTCTAAAATCCAGGGTTTTATTACCTGCAGAGTGCTGATAGCCCATTATATAGCTTTTCATTAAAATAAACAAACCAACAAGTATCTAATTTGGCCTAAAGTAATACCTTGCTGAACAGCAGGAGGATAATAAGATTCAAAATATGAGATGTTAGATTTTGTGTGAAGTTTTTTTATATAAACTGTGAGTAAGTTTATTGTTTGCAGTAGTTATCATAATATCCAAAAAATGTTTAGATTTAGTGATCATTCCGATATGAGTATGTGTGAAGCAAATGTATGTGTAAATACTGTAAAGGAAACTGACAATCCAAAGATGATGTGAGGTCATATCCAAACACCTAAAATGTCATTAATAAAGTGGTGATAAAGTTTGGCTGAAAATTACTATTACTGTGTGAACATTGTCTTAAGTAATGCATTAAAAGCACAGAAACGTTATTGCATATAACCACACCTCTGGTTTAGTTATCATTAGACCTCAAGTAGCTGTTAAATCAAGAGAGATATATACTTATGCAGACAAAGAATAGTTATAATTATCTCTAATTAAGTTTATAACAGCCACTCTTGTTGTAGACTAACAAATCAGTTGACTGTTGGTGATATCAATAAGAAATATGACATCTCAAGATCTTGTTTTGTGGCACTTAAAAACATTTACAAAACCCAGCTGTGAATGTCAAGTTAAGTGTTAAATGTACTTTATTACAAAATGTCGAATTTAGGAGTTTCATAATCCCAGAGGGAAAAGTGCTTCAGTTGCTGTCTATATAATAACAAAAGAATGGAGAAATTCCAAGAAATATGTAAGCTACACCACTACTTTTCAGGATATGAGGGAGTAAAACTCTTATCCCCATCCAAAACATGGTAGCATCTGCAAATGTTGCACAATGCAAGATCTAGTTCGTCAGCTCTGTCAAGCCTTTTCTTTAGTTATGTTGATATAAATGGCCAAGAAAGACTCAACTAAACTTATATGCTGCTGTAAGGTGACTAAGTGTGGTGCCTACCTGAAGTGAATACTTCCATTATTTTGTGTAAGAGAAACACAATACAGCTCCTTAAACTTAAACTCTACATATTTGTGACCAAACACTATATTTGGAAGGGAGTTCTATTGGCAGTAAAGTGTGGTTTTTTGAAGTTAAAAGATCAAACACTTTTTTAGAGTACATTTTCATGGTTTTAACTTGAATACTGGACACCTCTTTGTAACCCCAAATCCCTCCAAGTTTGCTTTCATTGGCTCACAGATTGGGTGTTAAATAAATAGACTGCATAATCCACTGATGGACTTACTTGTCGGATTTTGTCAATTTTCATGTTCTCTTATTTGACTTGCCCAAGTATTGGTCATCATGATCAGCTAAAAGTGAAGTGGTACCTTGGGAGATTTTTTTGATGCATTAGTTTTACAGTGATGCCAAGTGCATAAAAGGTTGATTTATTGATGCCAAGAATATAAAAGTAATGTATTAATAATTTGAAGTTCTGTAAAATATTCAATACATAGTTAGAAAATGTTATCACTGTTGTTTGTTTTAAAAATTTATATAGGTGCAGAATGTAAAGTTGTCAAACCCCTAGGAATAGCTGCTGGATCAATACCTGACATTGCCATTAATGCCACCTCACAGAGAAGTAATTATGAGGTTACAGTAAGTACATAAATACAACTCATCTGAAAACTGCTTAATATTTTACATGTAAGAAGAAAAACAATTGAAGTGTACTGTAACACTACCATGGCCAGTGAGCAGTTATCTGGTGGCAAGTGCACACTTTGCATATCAAATACCAAAATTTAAGTAAAAATAGTACTCCTGATTTTATTCCAACAAATTTTTACTCAAAAATATTGTAGGTTTGAGATTTTATAACCTTGCAACATTTATGTAATGTAATTCATAAAGGAAGTTTGTTTAAACGTTTCATCTTTAATTTCTTTGCAGCTCCAGAATGCAATTATAGGTTTTCTACCTATCCCAAAGAACAAATTTATATTTACTCTGAAACTGTCAAATTTGGAAAAATACTTACCCATGTTTAGTTTATCATGTGATTTTTCTGTCTGTGATTTTTATTTATAGGGTAACAATGATAGAACAGAAAAGATTTGTTTATCTGTGTAAAATAAATAAAGTGGGATAAGCACTAATATGTGTTTCTGAAAAAGTCACTAGTTGAAGTTCATATAGAGATGAACAGAGTATTTTAATATGAAGTTTAAAATACTTAGGAACAACCACAAAGCTGGGAATTTTTTTACAGTTTCTTTTGACATTTGTTTCGTGCAATAGTAATCCTGTTTAAACACTACAGGAATATTGGGTGAGAATACATCAGGTAAGGAATTCAGGATAATGAGTCTGGTAAGCTAGGAGTTTTGCAATTGTTACTCAACACAAGTAAAATAAATCTTTAGTTATTGAAATCTAGCAATAATTATTAGAGAGAAGTTGAGTTTGACCAAAAATATAATTGTAAAAAGATTGTCTGTAATAGTGTAAGTCTAGAATATGAGTACAAATTGTATTTCTACTGGTCATCATTTCTGCTATTTATAGGAGTTTTATGCTATTTTCATGACTACATAACTGCTTCTATGGGTAAAGGTAAATAACAAATATGCATTACTGATGAATATCAAAGAAGTTAGAACTTACTGGATATGTAATAGTTCTTTTTGATCATTACTAATAAAATACCCAGTTTTATTTATTTATTTTGTATTTTCTAATAGTTACTTTTGTTGTATGTCTGAAGTTGTATGAAAAAACAAGAAAATTAGTGTGCTGTTATTAAAGCAAACACACAGACACAAAAATTATTGTTTTATTTGAAAAATAACTGTTAGATAGATCTACAAGACTTTAGGCACACAGTAAAAAACAACAAAAATTAAGATGGAAGGAAGTATTTTTTTTATCTTTTTAAAAACTATTACACACAACAAAATTTTCAAAAATTCACAACCTGAAACATCATATAAATACTAAATCAAATGTGTGCCAGATTTCATACAATTTAGTTAAGCATTTTAAGTGTGAGCACAAAAAAAAAAAAGAACAGGAGCTATCACTGACATTCTACTAGTCTGGAAAGGGTTATTCCTAGAAATTTAAAAATAGAACCTAGTAATCCTTCTCATATATACTATTTCAAGCGAAATATTCTTAACTTTATGATGGCATGTGATGTCTTGATATTAGTGTTTTTAACTCTTGCAAGTGATATTAAATGATTTATTCAGTGAAAATTCAACATTTTGTGGTTAAATATATTGCAGTATTATTATTAATTATATGAACTTTTTCTTGGTTGCAGAATGTGTATCTGGACAGTGCCACTGGGTGGTGTGGTCAGCAGGAACCTTTTACATATGTTACTGTAGACTTAGGACGGGTTTATCGTGTTAAATCTATTCTTGTTAAAGGTGTGATAACCAGTGATGTGGTTGGGCGACCAACTGAACTACGATTCTTCTATAAAGTTCGGGAATCTGAAAACTTTGTTGTCTACTTTCCAGTAAGTATTAAAATCAAAGTATAGTTAGGAAATGAATGCCATTGTTTATAACATGTCTTTAGCATTATAGTTGTTATTTTTTATCATTATGTGTGTGTGTGGTGTTCAGGTACACTGATGTTCGACAGATAAATTTGGACATATTTGTAAAATGCAGATTCAGTAAATGTACTGCAGAGAATAAGTTTAAATTTGGACAGCAAAGGAAAGGAAGAAACACAAGTAAACAAACAAACAAAATTTTTATTTACATGCAAAATTTGTCTTCAAGTATTTCACTTACTAGCTGGCCTCTAATTCTGTTGTGACTTTGACGGTTGAGAGGAGTCTTTTTTAAAAACATCCACACTAGACAAAGGCAAAATAAATTTTGATTTACCACCCAAAATTTATACAAATGTTGAATTACAACATATCACAATCCAACATTGTATTTCATACAAATATCTGAGTCGCCCCTGGAGTTGAACTCTCCCACCTTAAGGGGTTAGACCTAGGGCTTAAGTAATATGAATTTCTAAACATATAGAGTAAAAGTGAGTAAAATAATTAGTATATGTTTATGACCTTTCAACATTTGGTTAACGATTTATATAAATTTGGAGATTTGTTCTCTGGCCCAAATTATTCTATAATTTTCAAAAACCTTTAATTTCTTATTTACAACTTGATCATTTTGTTTTCAAATAAAATTAATATGAATTAATATCTCTGAACAATGAGTTGTGACTAGTATCTAGCAGTATAACATTTCCATTTCTATCCTTATATTTAATTCTTTCTTCTCCTGGTGACTTATTCATCAAACTAAAACCCCTATCAATAATCTTTTCTGGATAATGACATTTTATCAAAAAAATTTTCGTTTTTTTTTTATCTGTAATTTCTCACCTCTGGATAAGATATTAACATATATATAACACATCAGAGCAACACTACAAGAGCATCTAATAATGGTATGATTTTTTAATTATAGTCATACATAAATGTAGTTGTTACATATAGTCTGTTTGAACTAAAAATAAATTTCAATATCATAACTTTTGTTCTTAATAATAAAACTTTCATCCAGAAAAATATCCTCTATATTACTTTTAAATGATATTAACATATATAACACATCAGAGCAACACTACAAGAGCATCTAATAATGGTATGATTTTTTAATTATAGTCATACATAAATGTAGTTGTTACATATAGTCTGTTTGAACTAAAAAATAAATTTCAATATCATAACTTTTGTTCTTAATAATAAAACTTTCATCCAGAAAAATATCCTCTATATTACTTTTAAATGATTTATGTTGTTAATCTCTAACTCGTTTAGAAAAAAATCAAACATTTTATTTTCAAGAATACCCATTACTAGCATTGCATAGGTTGGTACAATGTTAGTGCCCATAGAAGTTTCCAAGATTTGATGAAAATATTCCCCTTCAAACAAACCAACAAGATAAAACCAAACTTATACCTTTTAAAATAACCTCCTTGCTAAACCTCTTGTTAATACAATTCATATAATTATAAAAAAAATTCAATTGATCTTGGTACCACTGTTTTAGGTAACTAATTTAGAAAATCTTTATTGTGTTTTATATATATCTCTGCACTTTCAACATAAAATGTTTAAAACAATATCCAATAAACTGCTCATTAGTTCAGTACTTTTATTTTGGCCTCCTATAATAGGGTGGTTTGACATATCTAAAAGGTTTGGCTGTCAAGTATATTCCAATCACTCTCCCCCTCTCATTAATTATTCCTTCAAGATTTTACTCATATTCAGTTTTGGTCATATATGAAATTTTCTAAATTCATTTTGAATAAAAATTAGTTTCATTCTTCCTCAGTAAATGAACTTCAAAATTTGATATATATACACCACCAATTTATCTTATGTTCTTTACATAAAAGTTCACATCCTTATTAAACATTTCTTCATAATCATTATGTTATTAGTGTTCTAATGCCATACTCCTATAATAACTGGTTTTATATTGCAACCAAAACACTATACCTTTTAAGAAATACAGTTTTCAAATTTTATTATAAGTCAAACTGGTTTTTCTCATTGGTTTAAAATTTGATATAATCTTATTAATAAGGTATTCATCCTCTTCTTTTTTTCATTAACTTTTTACTAAAATAATACAGATCCTCCTTAATTTGAATTTCAGTAGATCTGTTATTTAGTTCAAAAATAATTCCTGATTTTAAAAGTCTAATTTCATTTTGATCTACATCCCTCTTATTTAAATTTTAAACATCAGGTGTGTAACTAAGGAGATTAGATAATGTCTGATAAAATTTTTGATACAATTATGCTCTCTCTTTCTACAGACAAACCTTTTTAACATTTTCGTGGGGGGGGGGGGGGGGTTTGGGAACCTTCCATTGGCAAATCCAAATTCATTTCAATTATTCTTCTGTTTAGTAGCTTGTCATATTATTCCTCTTTAAGGATATTTTTTCCTGTTCTAGCTGTTCCAAAAACCTTTTTTTCTCAGCCAAATTTCCTGGCTTTGTCTCTTATTTTCTTGATGTAATTTCTTCCACTTTTTCCAAATTATATTGGAGTCAGTTTCTACATATTTCAGTTTTTGTTTTTTTGTAGCTTGTAATGCTTCAACCTCTGTTCTTGCTAGGTTTATTTATGGATAATCAACACAGTGTTTCTTTTCTATTTTTTCTTTGGTATGATTAATCATGATAGTAGTTGGTAGAATTATTTTTTATTATATATGCTTTTGTTGTACATCATAGTGATAAGACTATCTGTATATACATATATATATAAAATATGTTTGTGTATAGTGTAGGTTTTTTAATATATTTGTATTAAATTAAACTTAATCTGCACAATGTCAGCTGAAAGGAAAAGCTCTTTCACAAAAATTACAATGTTTTGAATGTTATTTTTTTAAACTGCAAAATAATTTTAATATATCATTTTAATTTCTATTTCTAAGGATATATTATACTTACCTATTTAACTTTCTTTGTGGAAACCTCATCTACTAGCCACAAAAAATAGTTTCCTCAGCTGTTGTGTAATGCTTACATTCTGGTTCGTAGATGTAAGCCATCCATTTTGGGCAAAAATAAGATTTTTATTAACCTAATTGCATTGTATTAGTTCCACAGGTTATTTTTAGGGTAACAACTGACTTCAACTTTTTCTTGATACTTCCCCATATTTATGATTTAAGGTGACTAAATTTTTCAATGTAGAGGTACAATACACTTTTTTCCTTTAACAGAATTTTAACCTTACCAGTCGAGAACCAGGAAACTATGGAGAGCTTACCGTTATCCCTCTGCCACTTAGTGTTCGTGCCCGCTATATTATTTTGGGTATTGTTTCTTACAATAAAAACCCATGTCTGAAATTTGATTTGACTGGATGTGAAGACACAAATGAGGAAATTGTACTAGGATATGACCAAGGGTATCCTATTTGTGTTGGTAAGTTCTACCAGTGTTTAGTATGATGATTTTTGATATGTTTCCCAAACCACTATATGTTAGAAGTAGAAAGCACTTTTAAGTGTTTGACATGTTCAATTTGTTTTAAATCAAAATAATTCAAAGTAAATGACCTTTGATATGTTCTGATGTTGTGATAATGCTATTACTCCAGATAAAGAACCACCACAGTTCATAAACTGTCCCTCTGAGCCTGTTGTTGCCTCTAAATCTCCAGCTGGTCTTCAGCCTGTTAATTACTCTATTCCTGTTGCTGTGGATAACTCTGGGCGTATTGCCCGGTTTGAAGTACGTCCTGCAGGCTTTAAACCACCTCTTATGGTATTTGAGGACACTACCATTCAGTATCGAGCCTATGATTTTGATGGGAATGTCGCTGTTTGCACTGTTAACATCACAGTACCTGGTCAGTGAGTCTTTAATCTATCTGTGGTAGATTGTACTCAGAGTTGTCTGTATGTGAATAAATCAATATTAAGATTTCACATTAGAATTGTTCTGTGCATGCATGTGTGTGTGTATAAGAAATCATTTATAAATTTTGTATTGGAAGAGTTTTTATGTGAATAAACCATTCTATAGGTTTTCCATTAGAATTGTTTATATATATAACGAAATCATTTGTAAATTATATATTGGCAGGGCATTTATGTGAATAAACTATTCTGTAGATATTACATAATTACATTGCTTTACACGAAGAAATCATTTATTAGATTTTTTAGTTGAATAGTCTATATGAAAAAATCATTCTGTAGGTTTTACATTAGACTAGTCTTTTTGTATGAAGAACTAATTCCATAAGTCTTTAATGCTCTTTATAAATCGTTCTTTATATGAAGATATTTTTACTTTGATTGTCCTCACAAAAGAATTATCCTTATGTGAAGAGATATTTTATGGATTTTATTTGCAGTAGATTTTCTTTGCAAAAAAATCACAGTGAATTTTATTCATATAGGATTATTCTTAATATGAAGTGAGCTAGCTTACCCTAATTGCAGTGTTGAGTCTGATTAAAACGGACTTTAGTATAAATATGCCTTATTAAAAATAGCATTCTGTGAAAGTGATTTCCCTTCTTGTAAGTAAATTGTAAGCATTTATAGGTACATTGAAATTTTATAAATATTTTTGTTCAAGGACTTTAGTTTTTATGCCTAATTATGAGACTGACTTATTTAAATGCAGATATTACTTATTAATTGTTTATTCTTTATGAATTCCTTAGATGATACACCACCATCCTTGAAGTGCCCTCAGTCTTATGTAGTAGAATTAGTGGAACAACAAGACAGCTACAAAGTTAACTTTAATGAATCCAGAAGATTAATAAATGCTACAGATAAATCAGGACCTGTCACTGTCAACATTTCACCCGAATCAGCTGTTATATCAATAGGAAACTATCGAAATGTTACTGTCATTGCAACTGATAAGTTTGGCAACCAAGCTGTTTGCTATTTCCAGGTTTCTGTACAAGCTACTGCCTGTGTCTCATGGTCACTTGCACCTCCAGTAAATGGGATTGTAAACTGCCTTCCAAATCAGGACAATAATGGTTTTGGTTGTGTGGCTACATGTAATGAAGGATTCAAGTTTACAGATGGGGAACAAGCCAAGACATATGAATGTGTTGAAGAACAAAAATGGAGTCCAAGTGATATCATCCCCGATTGTGTACCTGAAGGTAGTTAATTTAAGAGCTTATGTAGTAGTTTGAATTGTTAAAAAATGCCTTACTAGTGACTACTAGAGGACTAGCTCTTTTGCTTAATTGGTATAGTACTCTCCTAGGTGTAAGAGGTATTGGCTTCAAATCCAAGGCAAGGAGATATATTGTGAAAAAAAATACTACACTTATAAAGCACAGTATGTAGTTTTATATTCTAGATTGGCTAATATATATTACTTTTATGTATTGTAATAAAAACCTACAAAAACAAATTATATAGTAGTAACAGATAGGTTTTCTAGTTTTGTTTTAGACTAGCTTCTCTCACATTTGCAAACTCATTAACTTTTCTATATTTTCATATAGCTTTCTAGTTGAACAGTTACTGTAATTTGTGTAATACTCTTATTTAGATGTTGACCAAGCTTTCTATGATGTGGTGGCCGAGGTTGACTATCGTGCAGGAGGTACAATACCCCAGCCTTGTCTTAATCAATATGTCAGCTATGTGTCTACTTACTACACTTCTCTGAATCAAGTTCTGTCTCAGCGCTGTTCTGCCATTAACGTTCAGATGGATATCACTTTCCACAACACAACTATTCAGGCTAAATCTGAAAACCTGGTAAGAATTACTTAGTCTTGTGAAAAAGTTATCCCTATAAAAAAATAAACAGTCATCATTCTCTAACACAAATTCTAGGGATAAAACACGTCTGCTTGGGTTGGTTTAATGAGGTTTGTTTTTTATCAAAATATATTAACCATCAGGTTTTCATTAGTAATATTTTTTTTTTCTTTGAGGATGTTTTTGTAGAGTAATAAGTATGATAGTACTTAATAATAGGGATTGTGATAAACCAAAATGTTAGCCATAAAAAATTGCCCATTTAAAACCACCTTTAAAACGTATGAATATTAACAATAGCTATTTCACAGTATTGGCTGAGCAAAACTAAACTTATTGTACTTATAAAGCTCTTTAAATTCCTATATACGTGTTTATAGAGTGAATCAAAATTCACTGTTTCAAGGAATTTTCATCTAAGTAAGTAAGTAAGTAAATGACTTTTTCCAGATGATGATAAATAATTAGATTTTAGGGTAGGTTGGTAAGAGATCCTGATGAGTAATAAACTTAAATGAGGTAAACATGTGCCCCATGCTTGGTATTGCTAGTGCACTAAAATATAGCTAATAAAAAGGGAACAAACAAGTATAATAAATTCATAATATTTGCTAAATTAGAGTACAAACTACCTTGTGGGAGAATAAAGTGTACCTTAGCAAGAGAAATATTTGCAGAAATCATAAATGGTATTCATATACAGAATACACCATCTGTCACGTTAGCTTATTCACAAGCCTCACATTAAAAATAAGAGCATATATGGGTGCTCATACCCACAGCATCCCACATTTATAATGGGCATTCATGTTTTTTAAAAAAAAGAGTTCCCAGTTGCTGATGTAAATAGTACTTAGGATTTTGATTGTAGCTTAATATGACTTAAATGTTTCAACAAGCAGTAAGATAACAAAAGAAAAAGGTTTCTGTCATATCTTGGATCTCTATATGTGTGTTACTTAATGTTACTATAAAGGTAAAATTAGTTTGTATTTCTAATAACTTTCACATTCATCTAGAAACTCAAAAAACTCTTTTAAAATAAAATTACCCTAAAGGAAATATTAGGTATGTGGGCAATATTTGAGACCAAAAGCTATCTTTTGTACCCTCAGGTTTTACCTTACCATCTTGTAGTTGCATCTATTTGTTACTTGTGTTACTCTGTATTCGTCTGAATGTAAAAGCATTCAAAACTTGTACAAGAAAACATTATACAACTTTAAGATTAAAATATTGTGTATTTGGATTAGCATTTCAGAATAAGCTTTAAAACTATTATAAAATGTTATTATTCTGTAAAGAATATTTTAGAATAAGGAAAGGTAATGACCACTCTTTGTTTGCTCCACAGCTTGCTTTAAGTTATGTACTCAGGATCGATCCAATGGTTCACCAGCCATTGCTATATGACCTCTGTGGCTCTACATTAGGCCTTATTTTTGACCTAAGTGTGCCAAGTACCTCAGCAATTATTGAACCAATCCTAAACATTAGTGCTCAGAATGTTGGTGGACAGTGTCCTGGACTTCAAGCAACACAATCCTCTGTGACTCGAGGGTTTACGTGTGACAAGGGAGAGGTTCTTAATGACAACCGAAATGGGAAAATCCCAAGTTGTTGTAAGTAAAAATACTTTACATGTGTTGTGTCATTTTATTGTTTCATGAGGTAAATCAAGTAATAGTTTTTTGTTGTTTTTAAAATAATGAACAGATAATTATTGAGTTTATAGTTATGGATTTAACAATATTAACATGAATTCTAACATAGAAGAAAATTTGGGTGACTTTAGGAAATGAAATTCTTCTTTTGATATTAATATGTCAAACAAATCCTGTATTTTATGTTGCATTTTGAAATTTACCATCTTATTTTCAAGAGAAGTTTGATTAATCGTATGCAAAATTGTTTTTAAATACTGGCAGAGGAATTGGAGCGATGAGTGAATTTCAAGTTTAATACAAAGTAGTAGTTGTCATGATTAAAGATATATCGTTATATATATAATGCAAAGCCTTAATTTTAAATATTTTATTGCAAGAAGCAGTGTAACTTCAGAAATACAACAATATATTTGGTTTTACAGAAAATAAAAAGTGATAAATGTGAAAAATTATAGTGAATTTGTTTATATACATTGTATGTAGATTGTTGAATATTTGAAATATGAAACTTCCATAGGGTATGACTTATGCAAAAATTCATTTTGTTAGAAGTATATATGAATAAAGAGTACATTCCATAGTTTCAATTACCAACCAAATAATATGTAGCACACAAACAAAGAAGTTTGGGAAGAGTAGGTGATTGAAGATCCCTTTCCTAGGAAGATAAAGAAGATAAAGATAATTGACAAATGCAGCTTTTCTTGAACCTTAACTTTGCTTTCGTTTTCTAATTTTCATTTTTTTGTTTAATCAAACATTTCTGTTCATGTAGATACACTGTAGCTTTGATTTTTTTAACCTTTATAAACAATATTGCTGTTGGATTTCATATTTACATAACCTATGGAAGTTTCATAATTTCCATATTCCACTCTTAAAGTTTACAGGTATGTTGATAATTCTCAATTTCTCCATGCAACATATTCTAATAATTACATTTATCTAAATTGACCTTTCTACCCTAAATATGTGTGTATGTAGGTTGTTAAGATATATAAGTGCAAGTGGAGCAACTGTGAACTAAGCATACTGTTGACTCCATATTTGTAAATACATTTTAAGATGCACTTCAAATGAAATGGAATTTGTCATACACAATTTTTTTCCCTTTATTATTACTAGTACACTGTCCTGCAGGAACTCGTGCTTCCTTTGAAGAAAAATGTGGGTTCTGTCCTCGAGGTTTCTATCAAGACCTCACACGGCAAGGAAGCTGTAAACGTTGTCCAGATGGAACATACACAAAGTCAGAAGGAAGTAAAAGCCTTACGGACTGTGTTCGTGAGTATGCTTCTCATTTATGAAATATATATGTAGCATTATAAAAAAACTTTTTACTTCTAGGATAGGAAAAATCATGGTTACTTTCTTGAATTCCTGTACAAAAAACGTCATGTTTAATTTTTTTACTTCTAGAAACAAATCAGTTATTTTCATTACATATAGGATAGAAAAATGACTATTGTCATTACACTTGGAATAAAATCAGATTATAACAATTTTCATTACATATAAATTAGAAAACATCATGCTACTATCATTATTTCTAGTATATTAAAATTCATGGTAGATTTAGTTTTCAAAAAGTTTACTTTCAGTACTTTTAGTGTACTTTTATAATATTTAGTACTATTTTACTCTCAATGTTAAAAATACGGTCAACATATTCATTATTTCTATAATACAATTTTTATGAATACTGTACAAAGAAGAGATAATTTTTAGATTTGTTTTATTATGCTATATTTTTTAACTAAAAACATTAAAATTAATAAAAAAGTAATTAAATAACTTATTTTTCTTAATTTATAGAGATATAAGGTAAATGTTATATATTTTATTTACTGAATTTAATATAAAAATGAAATGTTTTATTTTTTTCTATTTTACATTAAATTATTCTAATTGTGAAATGAAAAAGCTTCAGTGATTTTGACATGTTTATATCACAGAGTAAAATTAAATATTTACTCTCCTAAACTCAAAATCTAGCTGGAACTTTCCTGAACAATAAGTGCTGTCAGAAAATTGCAGCTGAGTAAGACTCAAAATGTTATTGGTGTAGTTAAGGAAGTAATTTACTCTGATTTGTATTGAAATATGAATTTTGTACTTTGTTTTTAAATTCAAATGCTGAATTTTCTCCACTATTTAGCTTCCTGTGGTTTAGGGACCTATTCTCCGACTGGTCTGGTACCTTGTCTTCAGTGTCCAAGCAACACTTTTGCTGGTCCACCTCCACCTGATGGATTCACTGAATGCCAACGTTGTCCTGGTAACACCTTCACCTACACTCCTGGGGCTTCTTCAGTTGCAGAATGTAAAGGTAAAAAATAATTAATCTGTAGTTAGCAAAAAGAAACTCACTACATAATTAAATGTGGAAAGTATAGAAATGTTTTTCTACTCAAGCTGACTTTGATATAATATTAAAGAATATTATAAAATTCTCTGTTGTTTAGAGATGTTTGAATATTTTTTGTGGGTGGACTAGATAAAATTTATAGAGTGATGTCTTCTATTTATACCTTGAACATATCAGAATAGTAACATATTCTATAGTAATCGAGCCTGACATAGCAAGGTAGTTAGGGTGCTTGACTCGCAATCTAAGGGTTTGAATCTCCATTCTACCAAACATGTTCGCCCTTTCAGTCGTGGGGCATTATTATGTGACAGTCAATCCCACTATTCGATGGTAAAAGAGTTGGCAGTGGATGGTGATGACTAGCTGCCTTCCCTCTAGTATTTCACTGTTAAATTAGGGACAGCTAGCACAGACAGCCCTTGTGTAGCTTTGCATGAAATTCAAAACACATCATAGTATTCCTTTCAGATGCTAACAAGACTTCTATTTACCAGAAAAATTTTAATTGTTATTTGGGATTAATGACTGCAAAAATTTTTGGTGTTTGACACATATTTAGCAATTGGTATTTTTTAAAAGTAGAAAACATAATTAGTTGTACTAAACCATGCATTAAAACTTGTAGGTGAAGTGCAATTTTAATTAATTGAAGTTCAGGCTTTGTAAACAAGTTACACTTGGTATAGTAAGTTGTGTGTGAGGTAAAGATTTGTCACCTGTATTGCTTTTTTTATTTTTAGCACATTGTCCTGCTGGGTCCTACTCTGAGACAGGGCTGGAACCTTGTTATCCCTGTCCAGTGAATTTCTACCAGCCAGATGAAGGCCAAATGACATGTTTGGAATGTGCAGCTAATCAGAGAACTGGAAGACCTGGTGCTCTGAGTGAAGAAGCTTGTGTTCCAGGTACTTTTTCTCATGTAATGCTTTGGTTTTTGTTTTGTATTGAGAATGAAGCATTGAAACAAATTAAAGGATACTAAAATAGACCTGATTTTCTTGTGTCATGTAGAGCGACACTTCACCTTTACAATATTTAATGAACAAAGTGATTATTTAATAGTTTTTGAGCAAAACTGTTGACATAGATATAGGAGAAAAATGAAACCAAATAAGTTGATTAAACTATCTTTGAATGTATTATTTAGCAAAAAAAATATAAATTCATTAATAGGCTTCAAAACATCTAAGGTAATACTAACTTAGTAGTTTAGAAGTTAAATTGTTATAGTTAGTGTTAATTCCACATATCTTTTAATTAATATACTGTGTTATTCTCAGTTTTATGCAACAACAATGCTTGTCAGAATGGAGGACTCTGCTTGGTGAAAAACCATCAACCTACCTGTTACTGCCCAGCAGGTTTTACAGGTCAATTCTGTGATGTTAACATGGATGAGTGTGCTAGTCGACCCTGCTACAATGGTGGAATATGTATAGACAGGCCTCAGGGCTTTACATGTCGGTGTCTAAATGGTCAGTTTTAATAACATTTTATTTGCAGGAATTATTTTGAAGGAACAATTACAAATTAATAACATGAAGTACTATTTTTTTTATAACTCTATGGTAAAAATAACTTAAAACTACTTCAAGCCTTTTTTAATCTACATCAAGAGTTCAGCTTTATTCAGTGTAACTGTTTACTCATTGCTTTTCTTGTGACCATATAGTAACTATAGGTTTAAGCACTTAACACAGAGGGTCTTGGCCCTGAGAGAATGATAGATGACTTATTATATATGCTAATTATGATATTCAATATTAAATCCATGTATAATGCATTAAATTTATATTAAGCCATAATCATTTTATAACTTGGAAAGAGTAATGTAAAAGAAATATTAATATATGTTTAAACACTAAACTTAAGCAGTTGAAACTTTGTATTTTAATCAAGTAAATTGGCTGAAGAGTTTTTAAAACTCTTTACTCAAGGCAGTTTATGAATATGTGGAGGGGGTTCTATATTGTGCAAAATATATATATTTAAGCTTTTTTTATATTATGAACAACACATTTATTTTCAAACTTCTCATGACTAGAACTGTTTTTTTGGCATCCTTAATTCTTCAGGATACTCTGGCAGGCAGTGTCAGATTGAACAAAATGAGTGTAAGAACACCACTTGTCCAGAGCGAGCCATGTGCCAGGACTTGCCAGGCATGGGTACAATTAATTGTCTGTGTCGGTCAGGCTATGAGGGTGCTTCATGCAACATCACTGTTAACCCTTGTGTTGCTAAAGGAAATCCTTGTACCAATGGAGCAACTTGTATTCCTCTCCAGCAAGGTCGCTTCAAGTGTGAATGTCCCCCTGGATGGACAGGCATGATGTGTGAACAAAATATTGGTAAATGTTGCTGTTTTTTCAGAATAGAATATTTTTAGGGCTGACATTATAATATAAAGTACTGTTAGTTATATATGATAATTGATGCAATTTTTAAGTGTAATTTTGTACATAAAAACATATTATATTCTTTATAATAAAACACACATAAAATTCATTATATAGATTGCCAAATTATAGTTACAGTAATTAGTTCATAAGAAAATTTATATTTTTGAATTCTTTCCATAACAATTATTTTATGCTTTGAACTTTCTGAAAAACAGAAAGCCTTTGAATTTTTAAAATCCCATAATTCTATAGAATTGTTGTCATTCCTTTTACCTACAATAAGATTTTATAATTTTTGTTACCAAAACCATGAATTTTTTATTGTTTTCAGATGATTGTGCTGAAAAACCATGTCTTCTTGGTGCTAACTGTACAGATTTAGTTAATGACTTTTCTTGTGATTGTCCAGTTGGGTTCTATGGGAAACGATGTCACCTGAAGGTGAACATGTGTGCTAATAAACCTTGTGCCCATGGTAAATGTATTGATCGGCTTTTCTATCATGAATGCGTGTGTAACCCAGGTTGGACTGGTGAGAACTGTGATGTTGATATTGATGAATGTGCCAGTAATCCTTGTGTTAATGGAGGACAGTGTATTGACTTGGTTGATGAATTTCGTTGTCTGTGTGACACTGGTTTTACTGGGTCTAGATGTCAACATACTATTGATGAATGTGAGACATCACCTTGTGAAAATGGAGGCACTTGTTTGGATCTTCTAGATGGTTTTATCTGTCAGTGTCGACCTGGCTATGTGGGCCTGCAGTGTGAAGCAGAAGTAGATGAGTGTGTAAGCAGTCCATGTAACCCACCAGGTACTGACTCTTGCATTGACATGGACAACATGTTCAAATGTGTTTGCAATCCAGGTTACACTGGAGAAATGTGTGAGGTAAATAACATAAAATTTTATAATACAAGATTCATTATATCATATCATTTTCCCAAATTAATATTGTAAGTATTAGAGAAATACATTGAGCCATGAAAAGATTAAGAGGAAATGTTTCTATGTTTTGCAACTTGTTCTTAAAAAAAATGCAAAAGCACCATATAACTGTTTAAAATATCACACATTTGTTGTAGCTAACTTATGTTGTCCTACTTACAGATCAATGTAAATGAGTGTGCCAGCAACCCATGTCTCAATAATGGTATTTGTATTGACTCTGTCAATGGATTTAAGTGTCAATGCCCTCCAGGCTGGTCAGGAGACAGGTGTGAGATGGACGTTGGTGGTTGTGACTCTGATCCGTGTCTGAATGATGCAAACTGTATAGATCTCTTTCAAGATTATTTCTGTGTGTAAGTTGAACTTATCATTGTACTATATGTACAAATGCTATGCTTTGTTTTCTAATTGCATCAATACATGCAAAAAGTTGTATCTTTATCGACAAAATATTTCCAGAACTGCCATTATATTTTGTCAATAACTACTTGCATAAACACTTGGCCTTTTCAAACACATGGATATACATTGACAAATAAAGCCAACTAGCAAGTAAAGCAGAAAATAACCTTGAATTAAACTTAAGCTTTTCTCTGTTTTCTTAAGAGTTCTTTTATTTATATATGTTTTTTTATATTTTAGTTGGCTATAGGTTTGTCAGATTTATACGTGGCTAACAAATCATGGGGTTCAGTGTCATATTACTTAACTAGTTCTTCTTTCAGAAACATTATGGCATATGAAAATATTGTTGATTATACTGTTACATTTTGTGCACTTTGCTTTATTTTTCAGGACTTATTTTCTTACATTAAATATCTTGCCAAATTCTAATTTTGTTTTTTAATTTAATATTGTTTAAGGTGTCCTTCTGGAACTGATGGTAAACGGTGTCAGACTTCTCCTGAAAGATGTATTGGTAACCCATGCATGAATGGTGGAATGTGTAAGGATTATGGCAGTGGGCTCAACTGCTCCTGCCCTGCTGAATTCTCTGGCATTGGATGTCAGTATGAATATGATGCTTGTGCTGACCATGTTTGTCAGAATGGTGCCTCATGTGAAGACTTGGGGGATGACTACAGGTGTATCTGTTCACCTGGATTCACTGGCCGTCATTGCACAGAAGATATTCCAGATTGTACACCTACATCTTGTCCTCCAACAGCCACGTGCATTGATTTGACCAATGGATTCTACTGTAAATGTCCATTTAACTTGACTGGTGAAGATTGCCGTAAAAGTATGTGTTTATTTCTTAATAATGTTTTTTAAAGGATTAATATGTAATACAATTGCTTGAAAGAACATTCATGCAAACACAATAACTGGTGAGTTGCTTGACCAGACAGCTAGAGGTAAGAATATATTTGGTAAAAACAATTAGGCAGTTTTAACGTTATTTCAGGAGGTAAGTATGCAATGCAAGAAACTTTCAAATTATAGTTGTATATATATATAAATATATTTGGTAAAAACAATTAGGCAGTTTTAACGTTATTTCAGGAGGTAAGTATGCAATGCAAGAAACTTTCAAATTATAGTTGTAGAATTTTTTTGTTCCAAGTTACAGCTTTTACAATAAAGAAGGATATTTTTTAAAACAGGTATGACGTTTCAATCACTGGTGGATAGTAATGTCATTATGTTTAGCATTGATGTCATAACCCTATTCCCTCAAACCTCTTGTCATAAAGCAATACAACTTATTGCAGAAATTATTTCACAAGACCCCGAAAAGAGAATCAACATAAAACAGGAACACCCAATTAAACCGTTACAACTAGCCACATTTATTTGCCTTCAGTAAAGAGATTCATACTTCCTTATATAAGCCTTCATTTTGGTGACATTTCTTGCAGTTTTACTTGTCAGTATGAACAAGCAAAATTCCTTCAACTCATAAACAACCTACACAAAGACATTCACAGTTAAAAATGAAAATAACTACACAATAAATTTTTTAAATGTTAACATCACCCCCCACCCCCCCAAGGCTTCACCACGAAAATTCATAGAAAAAACACACACAGTGTAAATTACATAAACTGGTTTTCTAATCGTATAATCTACCAGAAGCTAAACACTTAAAAAACCTCCTTAGTTTAGCATACATTATATACACCCCAGGAAACATCTATGAAAAAGTTGCACACTTAACCCAATGCTTTACTTACATAAGCCAATTTTCTATATTACAGTAGTAACACACACTATTAACATATTTAAAAACACATTATCAAACAAATAAATACAAAAAAACTCCATAAAACAAAGGAAAACTATTCACTTGCACTATCCCTTATATACCTCTTATCAGAAATTTAGAAAATACTATCACATAAATATAACCTTAACATAACAACTAGATTCATTTTCACCCCTGGAATAAAAGTTAAACACATGTTAAGAAAATTTTATGATGAACCCAACCCACCAAGAAACATTTGAAAAATACAGTGTAACAATTGCCCAGCCATTTATGTAGGTGAAACAGGACATAACTTGTACATCAGGTTAAAAGAACACCCCCTTCCCAAGTTCATGAACATATGAACAAAAGCAACCTCAGATTTTCTGAACAGAGTGTTGCCATACTAAAACATGAACTAGATATGAACAGAAGAAAAATCAGAGAAGTCTTATAAATAAAATCAAATTATCTCACAATTAACAAATACCCAGGCACATCTCAATGTCTCTTTGATTGCTATTTCCCTAGGGATGCATAATCTTATGCAAATATTTCTCAAGAGATATTCCACATATTCATATTTATTCACTTTTTTTCTCTTCAGCTATTAATAAATAATCTGTCAATTCACGAGAATTGATATGCACATGCATAAGTAACACTATTGATTCTCTAATTGAAATACATTGTTAGATTGTTAAATGTAAATACAAAATATCTTCTTTACTGTTAAAACCTGTGTACTTGAGAATAAATGTACCAGTGATCGAAATGTAGTAACTTTTTAAAAAAAATATTCTTCCTTACTGTAAAAGCTGTAGCATGTAATAAAAAAATGCTTATAATTAGTAAGTAAACACAAAATTAAACTATTAACATTTATAGAATGTTTACTTTTTATTGACCTTAACAATGTTTTGCTATGAATTTGGGATTTTTAATTTACACTTTTTAAAATGAATTAAGCAACTTTCATTAACTAAAAGTTAACCATGGATTTTTATATATATTTATAGATACATATTTTCTTTACCCCCAGCAATCAGCATTGACTATGATTTATACATAAATGATGACAGTCGATCTTCAAGTGTTGCTCTGGCCGCTCCATTTGAACTAGGAACAAACAGCCTCACAGTTGCTCTATGGGTCCAGTACAACAGCCCTGAACACTCCGGAACATTTTTTACGCTTTACAGAGTTGAGTAAGTGTTTTTGAAAAAAGGATTAATGATGAAATTACATATTCTCTGTCTGTGAACATTAAAATACTGATATTTAACAAAAGATTCATGTCTCATCATTTATTTAACTTACTTACATTAGTTTCTTGCACAGGTTACATTCTGTTTTTGAACACTTATCATTTTTCAGTGGAAAATAGTTTTTTTAAGTGAATCTTCAAACTAATGTGAACAAATGAATTTAATTTGAGAACTTTAAATGATTAAAGAAATTCTAATTTGAGATACTGGTGTACTACCGTGAGTATTCCTGCATATTCCAGGCAAACGGATAACTAATTGACTTCATATATAATTGTATAAACCTTGATGAATTGAATCCATACCATTTTTTTAAATAGAAGAGAACAGAATATTAATGGTATATTTAATATAATAATCATCTTCAAGTTATAAAATAAACTTTGTGTAATTTTTATCCCAAAGAAAAAGTGAAAACTTAATATAATAAACATCTTAGTGCCCTCTGTAACAAGGAGTTAAATATTACCATATTTTTTATCTCTGGATTAAAATAAAATTGTAAATTATGATTCAAAACTTGTAATATTTTCTGAATTTAAGACTTATGGATACTGAAAACAGGTGTCACTGTAAACTTGAGGTTCTTTCATCAAGAAGGAAAATTTGTGTTATAATTCTTTTCTGTATTCTTTCAGCTCTCCTCATCTTCCTATTGGTAAGAAGATTCTGATTCAGGCTGATGAATCAGGTGTATTTGTTTCTCTGTTCTCTAACATGGATGCTAATGTATTTATTCCCTACTTGAAGAATGTGCCCATCAATGATGGTCAATGGCATCATATTATTGTAATTTGGGACAGCATGAAGAAGACAATAACTCTCATTACTGACACAGCCGTTGCTCGAACTGTACCTAAGTACACCCATGATGAGATTCATGTTGATGTCACATTACCACAATAGTAAGTTTAAAATTCAGAACCTTTTAGTTCTCCATAGTGTGATCAATAAGCCTCTTTTGACCTATACATAACACATTTATGTATACATAATAGGTTTATGAATCAGATCCTATAGTTCTCCATAATATGATCATTAAACCACTTTTAATACAGACACAAACTCGTGATGCTACTCACTGGATGTCACATTATCACAATAATAAATTTACAGATATGAACCTTTTAGTATTTGATGATATAAGCACTATGCCACTTTTGGACTTTTTATTTCTAGGTTAATAAATCAGTTTCATGCTTTAAAATGACCTTTGAATAATGAAATTCTCATCCCTTTATTTTATTATTATTAATTTTGTATTTAAAACATAGAAGTTATTTTAATTCATGTACTACAAAAATTTATATATTTTATAGGCTATAGAAAGTGTTTGTTATTGTTTGAACAGTCATTACCAATAATCTTATCTTTTATTCAAAAATAAAAGGTTTAGTAGAAAATTCTTTTTATTCATACATAACTTTTCTGGATAATAGATTTGAAATTGTAATTCCATAATTAATCTGTTTTAAAAGACAGTTTTCTTCTTAGATCTTAATTTTTACTTATATTAATAGTTTTATGTAATACTGTAATAAATAGTGTCATTTTAGAGATGAAAGCATATTAGTTATGGTATAGTCACATAATGTGAACACTGTAATATTGAAAATAGAAGTATTCTGATTGATGTTGCACACCAGCATGTATATTCATGAAGAAGTACAGTTACTATGGGATTTGAATGGTGAAAAACCTATGTGGAATTTAAAATAAAACTTGCTGGTTTAAATGTGATGATAATTGTTTCTTTGTAGAGAAGACTAGGTCTTACTTGAAGTGCTGTCAGTATTGTTATGAGTTAATATTTTTCCATTAACTTAAACAAAAATTGTAGGATGTAGATGTAGTTGATTTATTGAAATATGTAAAATTATCACCTTACTTTTAGTGCTTGGGTGAATCTTGGTGCTCCTTTGGATGAGAAAAACAAGGCAATGGTACAGAAGGGATTCCATGGACGCATCAGCCGAGTCAACATCTGGGGAAGGCCTTTAGATATGACATTAGATATACCTTCTCAGTTCCGTAGCTGTAAGAGCGCAGGAGTGATTTTTGATGGATTGTTGTTGAGGTGGACTGGCTATGATCGGTAAGTTTTATTTCTTTTTATCATTGTTGCTGCATACTTTTTAAAGCTCTCAGTAAAATGAAATAGCTATGATTGATATGTTCTCTTCAGTAGATTACTAGTACTTCACTTTTTTTTAAAAAAAGGTTGTCAGTTGAGTGGAATGAATATTATTGGTATTTTTTCTTCAGTAGATTATTGGTGATGTACAATTTTAAAGTTACCATTAAGATAGGCTGGCTACAAGTTATGAAAAGCATGTTTTTTGTTATTTATTGTTATAAATGCAACCAGGTGTTGTTTTTAAAGTTTCTTCATCTTATTATGTTTCATTTTATTTATGTATTATCACATGAGCAATACAGAGATGTAATATAAGCAAATAGATATCACCTGAGATGGAAAGAGGGTCATGGCATCACAACTATACCATGGCCTGGCCATTCACTAGACTTGAAACCCATTGAGCAAGTAATCAATTATACTTATTTTCCAGGATTCCCTAATATATATTCTATATCAGGAGTGGGCTGCAATTCTGCAGACAAAAACTGCTACAATAGGAAGGGTCTTACTGATTGACTGTAAACTTCAGGAATGTGAGAATGGTAATACAACCAACAAGAAGATGGTTAATATTAAAAATATGGATGGTGGGTAGTGCAGTAGCATTGCTAGGATTCTTAATCTGGGCAGTCAAGTGTTATTTAATGCAAAAAATTGGCTTTTTTTGCTTTTAATAAATGTCTGTTTATTCCTTTTACTTATATATATATATATATAAAAAGTCAAAATTACCTCATGCTGCCTTTGCACGGATTTGTAGCAGTCTGATGCTGTTTGAAAACTACCATTAACCCACCCCTTAGGCCTCATCCAGTTGGAGATACTTCTTTTAGTTCAAGTTATACATTGTAACTACCTTGTCTGGAAAAAAATAGAACTTTCAGGTCAGTTGGAGTCACAATGTAGGAAGAAATTTAAAATCTTATAATAAAAATAAATTCTGGTATCTCAGATGGGGGTGGGGGAGAGACTTCTCCAGTGGGTGCTCTTCCACTCCTCTACACTACCCTCATAAACATGCCACTTGGTCATGCATCAAAGCTTCTACATAAACTGTAGATGTCATGTATCACGCCATCAGATGTAAGAGGAAATCTTATAACTACCTAAAGCACCCTGGTTACTTGAGTATTATGCATTTCCTGCACCATAATTCATTTCTCATATGGTGTATTAAATGGCATTTTGGAAGGAGTTTGAACCCAAAATCGTATTTATATGCCAGTGATGAATATCAGATATTTAATTTCAAATAAAATGCTTTCAACTATGTAACTGTCATATTTTTTGAAAAAAAATCCTTTTGTTAGGTGGTGTTTTTGTTGAGGAAAAATCACAACAACCCCAACTGACTAGCTATGATTGTGTTTTGTCTCATCAATAAATTGCTGGTATTGTACAGTTTTAAAATTGTCACAAAGACTGGCTATGATTGGTCTCTTCTTTTCAGTAGATTATTGGTGCCTTGCAGTTTTAAAGTTGTCACAAAGACAGACTAGCTATGGTCTCTTCTCTTCAACATATTATTGCTTCTTTCAGTTTTAAAGCAGTCACAAAAACAGATTGACTATAATTGGTCTTTTCTCTTCAGTAGGTTATTGATGTCTTTGAGTTTTAAAATTTTCACAAAAAAACAGACTGGACATGATTAGTTTGTTCTCTTGAGTAAATTATTGGTGCTTTTCAGTTTTAAACTTATCATAGATGGGTAGGCTACTTATCACTAACTACTGATTAAAGTAAGTTACCTACACAGATCACAACTAAACATTAATATACTGTTGCATCAGCGAGGTCACGTGACTAGTATCACTCCACCCCTTTTCTAGAAATATCCTGTTCCTTCAAGAATGCCCTAGCATTTACTAGATATATGTTAGTCTTGTATATATAAGATGTTCACAACATGATGGGACAACAGTGTAATGAGTAAATGAATGTATGCGGACAAAACATTGTTGGCCACGTGAGACGTGAATTATAGTGTTTGTTATAGAGCGACTGTTGAAATTAAGTGTATCGTAAAGTTGTATTCGGAAAGAATAAACCAGTTTTATTTAAGAAAGGACTTGTGTCGCTAAAGTTTCGTCGGAACGAATTTATGGAAAATTAATTAACGACTGGAGGCGTAACAATACTATTCTAACTAGGTCTGTGAAAAGTCTTAAAACAAGAACATGTATAATGATTAAAATGCATTGATTCATTACTGGTACCTCATTGCTGACAAAATTTGTTATCCATAATCTCAATAATATCTCAAGAGGTTTGACCAGATTTCAGTTATTTATACACCATTCACTACCATATATTGCACCATATTAAGTAATGTTATGTTTTCTGGTTGTTACAAATCTCAATTTAAAAAACTGACCGAAAGAATTGAGTGAAACTATTCATTTTCCATGTCAAATATTTAATTAGTGGGATAAACAGTAGTATTGCTGGTGTTTTTATTCTTTTTTGTGATTCATATACTATTAGGCACAGCATAACCAACAAAACCACTGGTTTAGTGGCAAGTTGGTAAATAAAAAATTTTAAAATGTGTTTAAAAAGTCATTGTGGGTAGTATAGATTCTATCAGTAATTCTAGGGGTAAGTATTATACACTTATAAGGTTGAGGAAACAGTAAAAATGCCAGGAACTTATGGAGAGAGGATCTGCTCACTGTAGTCATCAAGTATTTTACTCCTACAGGTTTGAGGGACCAGTAGATAGCCCAGAATAGAGGAGCTGTCCACTTATGTATTAACATGTATTATATAGGAGTGGGAGAACAGTAGAAAAGCAAACTTCTAGGCACTGGTACAGAGAGATTATGCCTTGCTGTGTTTAATAAGTTTGTTTCCCTTACAGGGTTGAGGGAACAGTAGAAAGAGAAGGTCCAAGCACCTGTGGTGAGAAGATCTGCCCCACTGGATTCAGTGGGGATGACTGTCATGTTCTTGAGAAGGACAAACTGCCACCAAAAGTTACTTTTTGCCCCCCAGATATGTGGGTAGTCACACAGAACATGACAGCCGTCATCAATTGGGATGTGCCACGGTTTTCTGATAACCTGCGGTCCATCAGAGTGATTGAGAGGAGTGGGTTACGACCTGGTAAGTTTGGTGTAACTGCTTATATTTATTAGTTGAATTATTTTTATTTTTAGAATAAAAAATGTTTTAATAAGATGCTACTGTATTAAAGGTTATCTATCTTAACAAAGAAATTATATTTGATGCTCTAAATCTTTCAGTTTATGTTGATAAGATGTTGGTAGAAAGGCTTAATTACCTGATGAGGGTTTTTAAAATATCTTAATAGCATAGTATTATTAAAAAAAGCCTTAATGTCAAAGCTGACGGCAATTGTCTGTATATAGTAAGTTTTTAATGTTGTTTAAAAAGCTATGTATCACATTTTTATCAGAGTTTGAGAACAAATAATATATTTAAAAGTACTCTACCTTTTTTTTTAGAAAAATACTGCAATTAACCTGACATACTTGGCCTTTATATTAATGTTATAAATATATATATATAATGTAATGACTAATTATTGCAGGACAAACTCTCATGCGTGGAACCTATGATTTAGCCTACATAGCTACTGATGAAGCAGGAAACACAGCTCAATGCCACTTCCGTATTCATGTTCTTGGTAAGTGTCAGGTTTTCACATTTTATTGTCACTAACCTGATACAGCCAATGATAAACAAGTCCCTCAGTCTAGTGAATTCTATATTTTTGTAAGTATTACAAAGTAAATATCCTTCAGTATCAACTCTCTAGACTTGTGACGTACCTTACATAGCAGCTACTGATGAACCAGCAACTGAGCTAATAAATGCAAACACTTAGCTCTTCATGTAAACAGCTCATGTCATTTTGAGTGCCATACTTGTCACGCCGCTCAGTGAGCTAAAGTGAAAGTAACCAGTAAAAACAGCAGGTTACAAAACTAAAGACGCATAGTATTTAACATTCTGCCTCATCTTTATGTAGATAGGAATTAAGTTGTAATTCCAACAATGCTTGCTGTGGAGCTAAAGTGAAAGTAACCAGTAAAAACAGCAGGCAGATGAGGCAGAATGTTAAATACTATGTGTCTTTAGTTTTGTAACCTGCTGTTTTTACTGGTTACTTTCACTTTAGCTCCACAGCAAGCACTGTTGGAATTACAACTTAATTCCTATCTACATATTACAAAACTAAAGACGCATAGTATTTAACATTCTGCCTCATCTGTATGTAGATAGGAATTAAGTTGTAATTCCAACAGTGCTTGCTGTGGAGCCTGCACAGTATAATACTATAGGCATAAAGGAATTTGTATTTTGTAGTGAAAGTAAAAGTAATAGGGGTTATTATGGAAAAGATTATTTAGATTTAGGCATTAAGCCTAACTAACAGTAGCACCAACAGTGAAATTCTAGTGCTACTACTATGCTAACATTTATTAGAGTGTTAATCAATAACTTAATTTCTTTGTTTAATTCTAATTTCGTATCAAATATATAGTGATAATCATATAAATATTCACTTTCTTTAAATAAGAAATAGTCGCATTATTATCAGCCTCCAAATATTACAATTTTTTGTCAGTCATCACTATTTGTAAATGCTTGTCCATTTCAAAGTCTTGCTCTGACCGTAAATAAAATGTGCTCAATCATTGTCTGATTGGCTTAGTGTGAGCTCTAATAATTGATCATTCTGTCAAGTGGCTGAGCAAATCTTAATTCCACTGATCAGCTCAGCTACATGACAAGCCTTTGACTATTCAGTCCAGACTGACTTATCTTACACAACAACTACTGATGAACCAGGACTCTTTGACTTATCCTACAAAGCAACTACTGATGAACCAGGATTCTTTAACTTATCTTACACAACAATTACTGATGAACCAGGCTGCTGTGACTTATCTTACACAGCAACTACTGATGAACCAGGATTCTTTGACTTATCTTACACAGCAACTACTGATGAACCAGGATTCTTTGACTTATCTTACACAGCAACTACTGATGAACCAGGATTCTTTGACTTATCTTACACAGCACTACTGATGAACCAAGTTGCTTAGTCCAGCTTGATTTATCCTCAAGAAGTATCTTCTCTATAAGTTCTAACTTGGAAAGTAGAAAAACATTGTAGAAGTGATCAGTTATGTTGAACATGCGAGTGTGAATGAGTTATCCATTAAAATAAGAATTACTTTGTATATCCCTGTTTGGAGGGACACAGAGTTTACTACTAGGTGTATCCTAACCCGTATAAAAGAGCATATTCCTGGGAAAGTTCAGAGCTTGTATCACACAACATGTCATAGAATGTAGTATACTTATCACCAGTGAAAACTTTATGATAGGGAGTCAAGCTGATGATAAAGAGCTATTAGAAATTCAAGAGAGTTTGGTAATTGTTAATCTGAAGCCTGGATTGAATCAACAGAACTCAGAAATACCACTTCTCTTAAAGTGTAATCTTTAAGTAAACATAGTAATTGCTAGACATGGCTATTCAGTATAAAAGCAACATAGTAAAATTATCACCTTTTTTTTAGCATTTATAATATTTCTTAGATGATAGTTGTACATCTTTAATGTTTATTAATCTTTAAGTTTTGTATAGATAATCTTAATTAAACTGAATTGAATTTCATATGATGTTTTTTATAAGTTTGACAGGTATTTGTAAATTTGATTGATTTGGTTGAAAAGCTGTTTATATATAGATTTAAGTGTTGTTTTTTTCTAATTTCTATCAAATAGGTGACTTCTGCCCAGTTCCTTTGCCCCCAGTTGGTGGTCAGCATCATTGTTTTGACTGGGGCCCTGGTGGCCGTTTCAAGGCTTGTAAGATCTCCTGTGATAAGGGCAGGAGTTCTCTCAACCAGTAGCAGATTTCTACACATGTGGAGCTGAAGGATTCTGGCGGCCAACCTCTGATCCTGGGACTCAACTCATTTTCCCTGCTTGTGCACGTAAGCATTTTAGACATGAATAGAATGCTCATTTGTAGTGTTTATGAAATAATGAAATTGAATATGTTAATCTCCATGTGACATCTGAAAAGTTATAAAAATTCTTTAATATTTTACAACTGAGAAAGAAAAAATATATATATATACAGTATAATTTTTAACAACATGTAATGTAAAATTTTCTTGGGCGGATGAAAGTTTGGATAGAAAATTCAAATTACTCACGTTTTTATAAAACAAAATCAACTTTTTTGAATGAATTATTTACAGTAAAAACAAGTGTTTAGACAGTCTAAGGAAAAATTCATTTATATTACATTTCTTTACAGCAAAAAGCCCAGCCCAAAGAATTTTCCGAGTAGCTCTTAGTTTTCCAACATCTGTAGTATGCTCTGATTCAGGAAAAAAGATACTGCGGGCTCGAGTAATTGATAGCTTACTTGATGTGAATCGAAACTGGCATATATGTACTGATGTGACACCTGGATCATGTAGTGGCTTGATGGTCAATGTAGTATGCAACAAACGTAGACGTGTTGCTCGACAGGTAGACAGTGATGAAGTTTATATTGTTGAAATTGCTTTCCCTGCCAATGAGTAAGCTTATTTTATTTACTTTTGATTTTTTTTAATGAAACAAGAAAATGTGATGAATTTACCTTTACATTAATGTATAAAGAAGAAAAGATAAGACCAGACTTTTTGTTCTTTTTAGCATTTGTTGTCACACCAAGACATGAAGACAATGCTAAATAAATAATTGTGCTTTAAACAGATTCCATTTAGTTCACATTGAATAATTTTCATGTGAATTTTATAAATAGCCAACTTTAATACTCCTACCAAACTAGTTAGCTCACCTGATACGAACTTAAGGCCACAGTTACTGTGTGTAAAATCTACACATGGGAGGGTTTGGAATGATAACTTGTACTGCATATAATTTCTGTACAAATGTTTGTTAGTACATTCAGAGGAGGTCTGCATGGTATATCATCTCACTATGAGTAGGAATTGCACATTGAAGTTATTCATGTATAAACATTAAACGTTTTTTTGCATGTTTTATTTTAAACAGATTTGTATCATATTTAAGTTTCTTTTCCCCCTTGGGATGCCTGGAACTGGTATCAAATACATTATTGTACTTATGCCAAATTAATGGAAACATGTTTTACATAAATGTAAAATGTTTTGATCAAGAACTGTAATGTCAGCTGTAAACTGTAAATTGCAGTGACCCTGTAACAAACCTAAATACACAAGAAAAATCTACTGTGGAGAATGTAGTTGAAATGGCAGTACTGCAAGATTCAGCATTTGATGTAAGAAATACACTTCCTAACGTGAGACCTGACTTAACTTCCCTCACCATGGTGACAGATTTTGCTTGCCCAGCTGGAAGGGTAGTTGTGCCACCCAACTGTGGTAAGTGTGAATGTTTCTTTTACTTCCATGCTTTCATAACTCTGATATTAAATAGAATAATCTAATCTGATAATGGAATGTGAGATTGCTATACCCCAAATCTCTGAGGTGATTATATCTTCTGTCAAGATAATGAGTTAAGTCTGGTTGTTTCTGATGTTCAGTAAAATGGTTGTGCCCTCTACTTACTGTGGTGTGGTTAGATTTTGTGATGTTAGATAGGGAACTTGTACCCTCCTGTCTGTGACAAGTGTGATTAGTTTTTATGATATTAAATAAGGTACAGTCAACAGTAAATGCTAAATAAATTTTGAAAGAGTAATAATAATTGTAGTAACTGTAATAGTAGATAGTTATTGCTCATAAACCTTCTGTATTTGGAAAATTTAAATATATTGTTGATTAAGTTTCCTCATGTAAATTGTGAATTATTTTCTACAGTATTAAGTTATAATTAATTCTTATTAATTAAACAAATTTTTGTGAGATGTATTCTTCATGCTCTTTACAAAGTGAAATGCCATTATATATAATTACCCTGGAGTAAGTAGTGTTTGGGTATCAAAAGAATTTGGAGGTAATAATAATATAATCTTTATTGTTCCATTGATCTATATATATCTAATGAACAAATTCATCTCATGTACCCCTTTTACAAGAAATGCTTATATTTTCAAAATTAAAGTATTACGTTACATTATACATGGGAAAAATCTATCAAAATCATATTAAGAAAATAAGCTATTAAAATTTCTTGGTCATTGTTTTAATACGTTAGTAATATTTGTTCTCTTTCAGTTGACTGCAGCCAAGGCACCTATTACAACAACAATACCTTGTCTTGCATTTCTTGTCCTAGTGGAACTTATCAAAATGAAATGGGTCAACTTTCTTGCAAGCCCTGTCCAGAAATTGCTGGACAAAAAGGGGTGACTGCTTCCAGTGGTGCAAGGTCATCCAATGAATGCAAAGGTTATTGAATTCAAATGTTCATGATTACATAAGTACACTTGCTTTAAAACAGTATACTTTTAGAACACATATATTTGTATTTCATATTTTGTAGATCTTGTTGAATCTTTTAGTTTTTCTTCTTACACATTGTCTGTGAACTTTAACAGTTTTATATGTCCCTCACAATTGTTATTTTACGAACAATTGTGAGGGACATATAAAACTGTTAAAGTTCACAGACAATGTGTAAGAAGAAAAACTAAAAGATTCAACAAGATCTACAAAATATGAAATACAAATATATGTGTTCTAAAAGTATACTGTTTTACAGTTTCATCATAGTACTTGCCAGCAGAACAACGTTCTGTGCGTGTTTATACGCACAGAACGTTGTTCCGCTGGCAAGTACTATGATGAAACTGTTGGGTTGTGTCGGCCATGTGGATATGGTCTCTACCAGTCTCAGGAAGGTTCTTTCAGCTGTGTTCCATGTGGTCCTGGTCTCACCACTCGTAGCAACACAGCAGTATCTCAACAAGAATGTCGAGGTATTAACTAACATCTCTTTGAACAATAGATAATATTCAGATTTACTGTTTATGTTTTTCTCTTTTTAATGCATCTCCTCAAGATCTTTGACAAAAGGCAAATCACTAAATAAGATGCATAGTTTACTTATAGCTGATCTTAAAAATTTAAATTAAGAGAAATTACACTAGAAATTTGTAGTGTTTGTTGAAAATAAAGTTTTTTCCCCTCATTATTAAACTACCAAAGAAAATGTGAAACAACAAAATTTAAGAACTTCTTAAAGATATTTTTGTCATAGTGAAAATGTTTTCAGAGATTTTGAATATTGTTACCTAAAGTTGTTATTTTCATTCACTTGATTCTATGTTCTTAATTTTTACCCTTTTTATGTAAATGGTACATTTTCTACTTTTTCAGAGGAATGTGCAAGTGGCCTACAGCTATCTAGCAATGGCAACTGTGAACCTTGTCCAAAAGGGTTTTATCGAACCCGAGGGATGGCAGCTTGTGTACAGTGTCCTTCTGGTAGAACAACAGCTTCTGTAGGAGCAACCATGCAAGATGAATGCTCTCTTGGTAGGAGTAATACTCAGATCTTTATTTGCATTTACAAGTCAAAGTCTTTTCCATGAACATTCAACAATAGAAAATATTTCTTAGAATGAAGTAAAAATAGACAGAATACCCACAATACTTCCTTTAAAAGATTGTAATGACAAATTTTATTTCATAAAATCTGTTTTTTTAGCATTCTAAGTATATTTCTTCCTGTACATGTTTCACTCAGTATTTTAGAATATATATATATATTAGGCCAGAGACAATCTCTATTGGTATGCTTAATGGAAGATTTTGTTCTGGATCCATTTATTTTGGGAACAACTTCAAGTCACTTGACTGTACATATATGGTCAGTGTTTTTTCTGTTTTTTTTTCAGAGGTGTGCAACCCAGGCTACTTTCTCAACAACACTGTTGAGCGTTGTATGGCTTGTCCTAAGGGCACATATCAAGACAAAGAGCAACGGGACAAGTCTTGTCAGCCTTGTCCACCTGACACAACCACTGAAGGGTCTGGAGCTACCAGTGAACAAGCTTGTTCTAACCCCTGTCTGGTTGGTGGTCAGGGGAACATGATACTTTGTCAAGCTAATGCTTTCTGTGTGTTCAGAGAAGAAACTGACACATACTCTTGTGATTGTAAACCTCAGTACAAGCTAAATGTGGAGACTAATGAATGTATACGTAAGTATGGGTTTTCATCAGTTCTTCTCAAAAGTTTTTATTTCTCATATACTTTCTGTTTTTATAGTTTTTATACTGTGACTTAAGCAAGTGGTAAATAGTTCAGTTTATCTTGTTAGTTTATATACCATATCTTTATCCCCAAAAACTAAAAGTAAAGTCTAATGTCATCTAACATTCAAGACTATGTGGTATCAGCGTACAGTTTTCTTACTTTTACCCAGGAAGTTCTATACTTAATAGATATTGGTTTTTAACTGACTTATACTTATACTTAATACAATGATCATTGTATAGTCTAGCATAAACTGTCACCTTACTCAGTTACTTAATTTTAAGGATTCACTTCTTTCAAAATCATTTGACTTTATTATATAAAAAACAAAACTGCTAATGGCCTAATTTTTCTACGAGAGAAAAAAAAAGATAACCTTGAATTAAAATGTTTATTGACAGTGCTTTGATTGAGAATACTTGTCAGAAATATTTTTTTTGTAAGAACATTATTTTTACATTTCAAATGAATTTTTAGGCATAAGAGAATTAAATCAAAATACAAACTTACTTCTCTTATGATGAATGCTTTCATGCTTTACTATAATGTAGAAGTAGCATGATAAAAGTTTACGTAACTTAGATTGCTGGTAATCTGTAAAAATATCTTGTTGGAATCTGTGGTAGAGTATGCTAACTGTTGAAACAGTTTGGATTTCTTCTTTCTATGGTAGAACATGATAATCTTTAAAAAAAGTTTGGATCTCTCTTCTTTTTTTCCTGTTGTACAGCATGGTAGCTAATTAGAAAGTTTGGATTTGTTCTGTTTGTGATAGAACATGATAATATTTGAAAATGTTTGTATTGCTTCTACCATATGTAGAGCTTTTTAAGTATTGAAAAGTTTTGGATTTCATCTACTTATGTAGAGCATCGTAATTGTTGAAAAGGTTTGGATCAGTTCTCCTTCTGGTAGATCATGCTAACTTGTTTTAATAGTTTTGATTTCTTTTTGTGATAGATCATGTTAAATGGATCTTGTATTCTTGTAGTAAAACATGGTAACTTGTTTTAACAGTTTGGATTTCTCTCTAAGGTACATGATAGATCATGTTACATATTCTTGTGGTAGATTATGGTAAATAATGAAAATATTTGGACCACTTTTCCCTTTGGTAGATTATGATAATTATTGAAAAAAATTGTATTTTTTTAACAGTTTGAATTTCTCTCTATGGAAGATCATGTAATTACTAAAAGGGTTTGGATTGTTTTAACAGTTTGAATTTCTCTCTATGGAAGATCATGTAATTACTAAAAGGGTTTGGATTGTTTTAACAGCTTGAATTTCTCTGTATGGTAGATCATGTAATTACTGAAAGGGTTTGGATTGTTTTAACATTTTTAATTGCTCTCTACGGTATGTCATGCTAACTGGATCACTTCTTCCTGTGGATCTCTTCTGTCTATAGTAGAGCTTATTAACAATTGATAAAGTTTAGGTCACTTCTTCCTAATATCTTATAAATATAATTCATGTTTGTGAGTATTGTTCCTATATAATCAACTTATCATTCACAATTTCTGATGTTTGTAGATGTCTGTGACAATTATTGTGATAATGGCGGAACTTGCTCTGTATTACCTGAGTCAAACGAACCCAAGTGCGAGTGCCTGACTAATTTCTATGGAGAAAAGTGTGAGAAAAAATCAGAATTTGTATACATTGCAGGAGGCATTGCTGGAGCAGTTATTTTCATCATCATCATCATACTGCTAATTTGGATGATCTGTGTCAGGTAGGGCTTTTTTTTAGTAAGTGGTTGCTGCTCATAAGGTTTTTAGTAAACAAGGAAACCAAGAACTGAAACTTGCTTTGAAATGTTGGAATATCACAACATTAAACAACATGATTCAAAACCAGCAAAGTGTGGTATTGAGTTTATTACTATTTCTTTATCCAGATTTTAAGAAACTTTTTTTTTATTTGTTTTGCAGTATTTTTCCTCTCACTATTGAATTGTTCTCTAGCTTAAAATAATCAGTTGTGATACTAAGTGAGTACACAAAGGAATTATCATGATGAAATATTGGGCATTTTAATAAAATAATTTGGAGTATTTGGTTGATTGATATTGGTATTTTTAAAAATAGTTAATTGTAGAACTGGGCAAGCTAATTGATATATATATAGTCACATAAGGAAGCCAATTATTCAAAATTACAATTAAATTGATTAATTTAAATTAGTGTCTCTGATTAATACTGCTTTTAATTATTCCACCAATCGTTTAAATTGACTGTTGCCAAAATAGTCAACTAATCAAAATTAATGTTTCCAGTTATCACAGTTTTGAATTAATCCACTGATTTTTATAAATAGCCCTGATGGTATTTTTATAAATAGCTAATTGTATACATTAGTCTAAAGATATTTTTACAAATAGCTAAAGTATACTTGTATTTTTATAAATAACTATAAATTAGTATGTTGATACATTTATGAAAAATAATTTTATACTTTAGTCTGTTGGCATTTCTGTGAAAAAACTAATAGTAAATCATAGCTTCATCATTCAGTATCAGTAGCTTTAACAAATATATTTTACTAAAAAACTCTTATTATGGCTCTTTATGTGCACGTGGTAGACCCGATGTAATGTAAAATCAATGACTTTTAAACAGAGCTTCATGGAAGAACAAGTCAAAGAAGGCACTACCACCACCTCAACCTCCAGTAGACCTCACTGGTTCTCAGAGTAACTTCTTCTATGGTGCTCCAGCTCCATATGCTGAAAGCATTGCTCCATCCCATCACAGCACGTATGCTCACTATTATGATGATGATGATGATGGTTGGGAAATGCCTAACTTTTACAATGAGACTTACATGAAAGGTAGATCTTTGTATTATTATTATATTTAACAATGAACACTAACAATCTGACTTATGGTAAGATACTGTGTTTTAGAATTCATTTATAAGTTATTGGTTTAAATTTCACAGTTATCCTCTTTATAATTAAAGCTTAAATTAAGTTGATTCCCAGGCATATTTTTCAGTACGTATGTGTTCTAATATATTTGTTTTTGTTAATAGAAATATGAATTTTGTAGTATTAGTATTAAGTGTAAAATTCTTTGTCATCACACATAGTTATGTTACACAACTAACAAATCTCTAAGGTTAAAAGTTATATTTTGTACATTTGAACTAACCTTGCTTGTTTATTGTTTAACTGACCACATTTTCTACCCTAATCAGTGAACTGATTGTATATGGGTGTATTAATAATTTATTTTTTAAATGATTTTCTATGTTAATGTATTCTAGAGTAAAACCTTTAAATGTTAATATTCTCATGTGAAACATCTATCAGTTCTGTTCATGATCTTTAAACTTATCACAGTTCTGTGATAATATGTTTTAGAAGTGTCCAAATATTCTGTCCTTGTTCTTTAAACCCATCTCAGTTGTGTGGTAATGTGTTGTAGAAGTGTCCAAATATTCTGTCCTTATTCTTTAAATTGATTACACTGTGTTTTCATTTGTTGTATAGATAATTTGAAATTCTACTGTGAAAATGTATACTTTTCCTTAGTTTATTGTAAAGTTGTTTTTATTATTTGACTGACCTCTTCAAATTTAATTTATTTTAATTTTATATATAACTTAATTATTTTCAATTTTATTTAAAAATATTTTAAAAACTAACACTGACAAGATTATTTCAAAGGTGGAGAAAATAGCATTTTTCAATTTATGTTAGCTTTTGAAATACTTAGTACTAGCTTTTATATTTGTGATATCTTGATGTGGGAATGTTCTTCTGACTCTACAGTTTTCACACTGATGTTTTGTAATGATTTTTCTTATTGTAATAATGAATGTGCTGAACTTTTTAAAACATATCAATTTTTCAGAAGGTCTGCATAATGCTAAGACCAATAGCTTGGCTCGAAGCAATGCTAGCCTATATGGAACAAAAGAGGACTTGTATGATAGACTACGTAGACACCAATATCAGGGAAAAAAAGGAGGTAAGAACTTTATATGTGTACTCACCACCTTCATGAGTTTGAACTATTATACGAATAGAAGTAATGTAAAAAATTAAATAACAGTTAGGTGATTAGAGAAATGGAAAAAGACAGTAGTATATATACACTGATGAAACTGTTTGTCTTTCTTATGTGTATAGTTGCTTAATATAATCAAATGACAAAAAGAAGTAGATAAAAATGCTTTTCTACACTCTTACTAAATGGATTTATTTGGAACTTTGTATTTTGTGTGTGTGTGTGTATATATATATATATATATATATATTTATTTTTTGTTTTATACTTCGCCAATAATGTTGTATTTACATTTTGTTACGTATGATTGACTTGTCTCATTCCGCGCCTGCGTGCCTCGTATCTATTTTCTAATTCCAACTTATTCTCCATCTTAGTCAGTTGTATTTTGTTCTTTGCCTGAAGTGGGCCTAAGGCCGAAGCACTCCAAATTACATTCATTTAGGAGTGTAGAAAGCATTTTTACTGAATTCCACTCTTAAAAGAGCACTATCTGTGATAAAGAAGTACCAAGTTAGTAGTTGCTGTTTATCTGCAAGGATAATTTGTTTCTTACACAAAAACAGCATTCTAATTTACTACATAAAGGATTTTCTTTGCCGGTATTTACTATTGTCTGAGATTTACCATTTAGTAGTTTCAATGTAAATGTTCTCTGTGTATGTTTGTCTGCAGACACTACCAGTGACAGTGAAGACCAAGGTCAGTTATGAGACTCAAGACCTGATGTATTCCTGAACTTCTTGCATAAAATTTTTGTTTTCTTTAGAAACTAACTTTGGAGAAAATAAATATTGAAGTAACAGAGAACTGGACACACAAGCTTGTCTTACTTAAACTGAATTAGATTGAGTATTCTTTTGTAACTGTTGTTAAGAATTTTAAAACAATGCTAGATTCTTTGTTTTCCGACAATTTAGATATATACTTACTTACTGCATAACTTATAACAACAGTTACAATTTATTGTTCGTAGTTCTATCAAAATTGTCAGTTTGACAACCTTCTATGTGTAATTGTGTGGGAAACTTTCATAATAATTAAAACATTAGGCCTTGATACTATCATTGTTAACTCACAAAACTTTAATTACTTTTCTTTACCTACCCACAAGAAGCATGAGTTACCATATTTTCGAATAAATATTTATTTACTAAATATAGGGGGAAGAATTCTTACTTGGTAAGAAAAGAAACATTTTTTGCAGTATATTTGTTTTATTTTTCGCCATTAATAAAATTGTTATTTAGCCATAAAACAAAATTTGTAATATTTAAAGATTTTAAACATTTTAGATTGCAGCCTGTTGGAATGTTTCCAAAGAATTGTATTTTATCTCTGATTTTGTTGGATAATTTAGCATTCTCATACTCAGGTTCATTTATATGAAGTTTGTCTTCATACTTTTTGCGTAAATGATATCATTTTAGCCAAAATTAACTTTTTTTAAAATCTCCTTTTTTTGCTCCCTTCAAATTGTTGTAATAAATTACTTGCGCCATCTGTTGGAATTTATGTATACTTAAGGTTAACTTATTTGACTCGATCAAAAAATATAGGTGTCTTGCTGAAACAGTGATTTTTTTATTTAATTTCTATCACATTAATTTATTAAAAGTTAATAACAGATAGCGCTAGGTGAGATGCGTTATATTTCTCGATGACAAATTATATTCGTGTCAAGTTAAATAGACTTGTACATACTATGACATATATAGTTAATTTGCAGCGGAGTTTGTTAGTGATTTGTTTTAACTAATCATAAGTCGTCGTTCTGGCATTATTAAAATATTTTGTGAAAATGTATTTGTGTAAAATAAACTCTTTTATAAAATGGGTTGATTAGCCTCTCTTTTGTACATCTTACAATTTCTGGGGATGTAGGCGACTATTGACTCTCCCACATCACAAACTTAAAAAAAAGGGGGGTTGGTTCGTGTACAATTTTACAACTACACACTGACGCAATATAAATAATATCATATACAACTTCTATTTAGATACTGCGGCTGTAGGTTTATTATATACGCGTGTAATATGTGAGAATAAAACTATATCACCAGAACAAAGACAGATTTACAGATCATATAATGTGTACAATTTTGCCACACCGTCAGAGATTAGCCTGATTTACAGGACTGCACACCGTGTGTTCAGACTTTGATAGAGAGCTAAAACTAAGCAAAATACGAATATTACGAAACAATGCGTTCAATATTAATGGTTTGCACGTGGGACTTTGACAATGGCTCTATCCATCCTCAAATCGGGTAGTAAAGATGTCTATGTGTATTTGGTCACGTGCTGTACTCGTCATTTCCTTTACACGAGTTTATTATTATTTATTTATCTGAAGGCGCCATCACGATCAACGTTTCACCCGTTCTTGTCGGATATTTCTAGGAAACGAAAAGAAAAAATCATAAAATTCTAGTTTACTGCTTAGATTATGAAGTATCAGCTCCAAGTCGTGGCATAAGAGACTACTATATTAGAACAAACAGTGACCCCCTACTAGCAATTCATTATAAATGAAGTACTTGCGAGTTATTCACGCTTCACCACATACCTCGAATATTCTGTGTATCAGACGACAATGTATATCAGTGCTCTCTCGCATAAAAAGTAATTTTCAATAATTGTTAAATCCAAGCTTATCAAGAAGTTTAAGTTAAAAGTAATTACTCACTTTATAACTTAATACTGACCAAGTAATAACTAAAATATCTGTAGAAAGATATCAGTATTTAAACCACGTTAGCTGTAACGCTCAGCGTAATTTACTATTGACGAAGTAACTATATAATATATGAGCTTATAGATTATATATCCTTCCAGTCGATGAGGGGCTCTGCATGGCCAGGTGGTTAGGGCGCTCGACTCGCAATCTGGGAGTCGCGGGTTCGAATTCCCGTCACACCAAACATGCTCGACCTTTGAGCCGTGGGGGCGTTATAATGTGACGGTCAATCCCACTATTCGTTGGTAAAAGATTGGCGGTGAGTGGTGATGACTAGCTGCCTTCCCTCTAGTCTTACACTGCAAACTTAGGGACGGCTAGCGCAGATAGCCCTCGATAGCTTTGCGCGAAATTCAAAACAAACAAAAATCATAAATAAAACAGGTTTATCTATAACTATCAATCGGTATTATATTTACTAACCATAATGTTACAGAAAAACTACTTTCTCCTTTTAGAGTCCTTTTTTCTGTCATTTTGTTATAGATAAACAACTCGGTTTAGTTTTGGATATTGAACAAATAAAAAATCGCATGTTTTAATATTTCACTATCTATCTTAAATTAAAAATGGTAAATTTGAAAAGTCTCAAGGACAATACCCTTTCCTTATGGTAGTAAAAATTACGAACTACCACGGCAGTGCTCCAGAGAACGATATGTACATATACATGGGAGTGAAAGGGTTAAATTGTGATTTTCATTGTCACAAAAAAAGATAGGACGATGCATTCCAATATTTCAATGCTGAATGTGAATACATACAAAGTTTGGAAGTTAAACTGGGTTCTCAGAAAATATAATTTACTTCTTTATTCTAATTTATCGAGTGGAATTAAAAATCATGAATGGTTTGTTTTTAATTAAGTACAAAGCTTAACTACACAATGGTTATCTGTGCTCTGTCTACCACGGGTAACGAAACCCGGTTTCTAGCATTATAAGTCCAGAGACATATCGCTTTGCCTCTGGGGACAAAAATCATGAAACTAGTATAGAATCTTCTAATGATAATCGGTTCACTATTAATTAATGTATCGTAAGAAATTACTAACAGTCATCAGAATTTTAAGTTCAATCCCATCGGTAACGTTTTATTGAAATATAAATAAAAAAATACTCGATTCAAATTTACCGTTCCTCGATGCCCTAATCTCAATATACTGTTTTATCATTGGAGGGTTCCTTTGGGTTAATTACTTGGTAAAAGTAATGCCAAGTTCAGTACACGTAACAATGATGAATTAGTTTATTTCTTCTAATTGTCTATAACGTTGCTACAGACTTTGTTCACGTTGACACAAATTGTAGGCCTAAGTTCACAAATAACGTTTTAATAGGAATTCTCCAGTTATGGTGCTACGCCTGAATTACAGAATAAATTTACTTCAAATTTCACGGCTATTCGATCGAGTAACTGAATATACATAATAACTCTCACTAAATAACTTTTTGATACTTAACTCTCGTACTAAATACTTAAATGAATTTTCACACACTGATTATTCGCTTTTATAACGTACTCTTGTTTCTCCAAATTCCACGAAATACCTAGATTATTACATCATCATAAACTTTCTAGGACTACTTTTATGAACTTACTAGATTTAGCAACATAATCCTGATTAACAGCTTCCTCTAGTAAACAACTAAATTATAACATTAAAAATATAGCTTACAACAGTACTGTGAGTAGTTATATATTTCTAAATCTATCATGGAAAAACACTTTACACTATTAATTAACACACTTCCAGTAGTGTCCCCCGGTGGGACAGTGGTAAGTCTTCGGACTTACAATGCTAACATCAGAAGTTCAATTACCCTCTATGGTCACAGCAGATATCCCGATGTGGCTTTGTTATAAGAAAACACAAAAGTTGTTGCCCCCAGTGGCACAGCGGTATGTCTGCGGACTTACAACGCTAGAAACCGGGTTTCGATACCCGTGGTAGGCAGAGCACAGATAGCCCTTGTGCATAATTAAAAACAAACAAACAAACACAAGTTGTTTTTGAACTATGATAAGAGGCGTCGCTAAGTGCTTAACAGATTCGGGACTCGGGTCCATAGGCTCGGAAATGTTCGGCATTTCAGTATGATATCGATTGTGATTTTCTATTCTGATTTTTTCAAGACCCCAACTGGGAATTCGGGGGCACTGTCAAACAGAATCGGGGAATGGGCACCGTGTGCCAGAGACGCCTCTGATGTTACGTTTGCTGAGTACTAGCTATAATAACTCAAATGTTATAATTAATAAATACCACATACTACTACGTAAGTTAAGAAAAAATGGTTGTAATAAATCAGTTAAAAATTGTAGACTAAAACGGCAACGCGAATATTGCTTATGAAGAAACATGGTAAGCCTAGGCTAGTGTTTCTCAGCCGGATTTGCCAGACAACCCTTGTGCCTGGACTTTGGTCGTCGCGACACCCCATTATCTCTGTAAGAATGAAATAATACAACAATTTAATTTATTTAGATAAAATGTTGACTCGGCGCAGACAACTCGCGACTCCCTTGGGGGTCACTATCCACCATTTGAGGAACACTGACCCAGGCCTTAAATCCCTAACTGTAGTTATGAGCCTTGGACATTGGAGTGGAAACAATAGCCAAGTGACCAATAAGTTGCAATTCAGAAAACAAAATGTATATAAAGATATTGTAAGCTATATTTTTAATGCTTGAATTTAGATGCTAGCTAGAGAACGGATGACTTTCAGGTCAAAAAAGTTTATAAAAGTAAGCTAAGTCAGCATCTAGTAAATTCGGGGAGTATCTAGAGACGAAAATAATTTACAAATACAAGAATCAATGAAACATTGAGTCAGTTTTGTTTTAAATTGGTATAGTGCCAACTATTCAGCGAAGATTTAGTTTCAGTGAAGTATTTGGACCCGTGTTAATTTTCGTGTATATTCAGTTACTTAATCGATCAGACATGAAATTATACAAGTAAGTTTATTTTTGCATTAGTCAAGTAAAATCAGCGAGGTATTTCAGTTTGAACGTCATTTTTAAACTAAAGCATACAAGTCGAAATTGTGTACAGGTGACAGTGATTTTAGCCGACGTTAAGGTTTGTTTGAAGTTAAGCACAAAGCAACTCAATGGGCTATCATGTGCTCTGCCCACCACGAGTATCGAAACCCGTATTCTAGCGTTGTTAGTCCACTGACATACCGCTGTGCCACTGGGGAGCACCAACGTTAAGAAATAAATAAAATAATTTATTATCGTTACGTGGACTGGACTTAGATTTAATTTAAAGGAGCCAGCCCAACGAAAGGACAATGTTAGAACAATATATTTTTGTGGCTTATATTTTTCAGATGGGACAAGTACAAGAGATTTCGAAACAAGCGTTGGCAATTTAAACAACGTGTAGTCTATTGGGGCTGAGAGTATCGCGGCCTTCCACTTTTCATTTATGACTTCAGAATTTTTTTTATTAATCTAACTTTGGAAAGAAAAACAAAAGAGAACATTGTATGCAAGGCTTACGACAGCCCGATTAATGTATATCAATAACAACGTATTAATGACTCGTAATATTAGACAAGTGCTTATAACTCATGGTTCACAGAAATCATATGCGCATGCTAGCACACGTTTTGTACTTGGTACAACATTAGGTGTATGCACAGTTCTGTTCGTGAGCATGACTACAGTAAATATACATAAGATATATTTAAATATCTGAACCACCATCACTACAATCACACACACAAACACACTTTCAAATTCGCTCAGCGGGACTGGCAAATCTTTATCTTAGAAAATGTCTAAGGTCTTTTTGCACAGCGTTTTCTTTTTTTCTTCTTCTTCTTTTTGGAAATAATCAAACAGTTTGGTGGCCAAATTAAAGTTTATGAAACTTATTTTGATGTTATTTATTTGTATTTGAAGAATAGAAAATATTTATAAATATGATAATCAACAGTTACAATTTTCCTGATATTTAGTTCCCCAGTGGGACATCGGTAAGAAATTTACGGACTTTCAACGCTAAAACCTGGGGTTCGATTTCTTGCAGTGGACACAGCAGATAGCTGAGTGTAGCTTTGC